GTTGTGCAGGGTAGTATCTTGTGTCCATTGCTCTTTATGATCTACATCAACAATATATGCAAGTGCATTAGCTCAGGTAAGACCTACCTCTATGCCGATGACTTAAAAGTCATCTATAAAACTGACATTTGCGATGTACATAGCACTATGCAAACAATCCAACATGAACTCAACATGGTAGACGACTGGTGCAAATACTGGAGATTAGAGCTCAACACAGAGAAGTGAGGCTGTTTATGTATAGGGAGCACGTCTCTGAAAACAAAAATAACATTTAACAACAACACACTGCCCAGACTGGCATCAGTAACTGACCTAGGGGTACATTACTCACACAGTCTTAATTTCTCTGAACGCGTCTCAGCCAAAGCATCTAAAATGTGCAAATTCCTTGGATTTATTCTCTGTAATTACTATCAAAATGAATCTAAAATCCTTCTTTATAAAGTTTGTGTAGAACCTATCGTTGAATACTGCTCGTTCTTATTTTCCAACCTACGCCTATCTGATATACTAAAGGTGGAAGGAATACAACGAGACCTAACCCGCAAAGTACTTAAGACTGACTCAGTCATTGACTACAGTACCTGATGCCAAATCTTAGGAATAGCACCCCTTTGGGAGAGAAGGCTTAGGTCTAATTTGATTCTCTACTTCAAACTACTCAAAAACCTTACTTACTGAACATATAAGATAGTTCTTTCCCGAGATTCACATGAATACGAACTTCGAAACAAAGTATCTAAGGTCAAAGTTGAGACATACAGATCAAAAACTCAGAAAAACTTCTTCATCATCAAGTATGCAATAATAAGGGACAGTCTTCCCTCCGAAATACGCATGGCAGATGAATTACATGCGTTCGTAAAACTGCCTGATCAAGCCCTCACTTGCACTGATCTAGCACGCAAGAATACATCTGCGCCCCACTCAGACATCATAGACTCTCTCCATGTCTAGACTAAAATGGAATTCAAGTCCAGTTTGCCTTATATTTTTCCTACTTTGCAGTTGTATTAGTTACTTTTTCTTCACTTGAAGTAGACAGGTTACTCAATGGATCTATCGATACTACTCAAGTAAACTCGGTCGATAAGGGACACTCACTACCACCCTAAAAAGTCAAGAGAACTGCACAGTCGACTGCCTACTACCAGTGGTCTTGCATCTATGGAGCCTGTTACCCATCAACTGGTTAGGACAACACAAAATAACGTCAGCACCAAGTTAGTGTGAGTTTCTCCTTGTTTATTCTTTATTAGATTTTTACTCTTCTGTACACTATGTTGACTAGCAATTAATATTATTTCTCCACTCGTTACCTTATCTACAACTTATATACTTCTATACTTTTCCGCCTGTTTTATTAAACAACTATCTGACATTATACCGTTCTTAATGCTTATGCTCTAATTGGCAAACTATACATTATACTATAGTCAACAGAGGCACTGCATCGATGCATTGCCCACAGTCCATAATCTGTAACTGCCTGATAAGCTTGTAAAATGGTACTTATAGAAATAGTGTTTTCCAACAAGACGTGAAACACAGAGGATTATGTGAGGTATGACATATATACAAAAATAAGCTTAAATGAGCCTAACATCACAAAAGGGGAGAGGGGGGAGTTACTGACCAGCAAGCATTGACGGTGAGGGCGATGACTTAAATCCACCCGTGTTTGTGGGGCAGAACATTTTGTGTGTATCGGGCTCGTTATGATTGAAGATAAGCCAATCAATCTGAGACATAGATTGTCTACTTACACTCACCACTCAGACTCATGTTTCCAATCCTATTCTGGACTAGCTATTCTATTAAGACAGTCTATAAAATGCTAACTCGGACTTTTACACTAGGATAGTAGGGCTGGCATCGGATGGACAAAAAAAGAAAAGAAAGAAACAATTAGACGGTGAAAGATATAATTATCAGCATTCTTAACACTTCACCCTCTATATGCACACTCCCTTCTAATAAAGCGCTTTCGCTGTGACAACATTGACTTCCCTTCCTTCATGTGAGCTTACTCCAACTTGTTAAACGCCACAACTCATTGTTCTTTATTACTACATTCTCTTATATGGAGCCTCTGATTTCATTTCACTCTAACAAGAGATAATATGAATTTAATCTAATTTATTATACCTCTTTCTGTTCTACTACAAAATGTTAAGCAACGTTTGGCGTTCATACCAAAGTGCATTGCTGCTCTTCCGTTTCTCTTTTTTCTTCAGAATCTTGCTCTGAGGGTACAGCTATGGAACTTCTGGTGTCTGGAACAAACTCGACGTACGCGTCTCCACAAGGCCATGGTTTGCAGCAAGCGCTCTACGATTCTACTTTATAGTAACTATAATCTTAATAAGTTAGGAAGCATGCTGTGCGCCAGCAAATGTTATTTGTATATCATGCCTGTAAAAATGGCGTGTACCTGCTCATGCAAAAATATATTATTATTATTAAGTATTTGCCTTATAAGTACTCATTTCGTCGCGAAAACTTGTAGTACTGCATCGGTTTAGGAGTTTCGTTAGAATGTTACGTCGTATATATAAGTTTATTCGCTGCAATATATTCGGATGGATACTTGTAGCGTCATTGTTTCCTAACCACATGGTCTTGGAAGCCAGGTATATGATGACTGGAAAGATATATATTCGTCATGTAACTGTAGTGACCCACATTTGTCAAGAGAACGCGATTGGTGTGATGAAAATAATAATTATTATAACCAGTTGTACCAGGAATTGTTTTACCGTACTTGTTTGATTCACTGTACCAAAACACATACATTCTTCCGTTGCTTGTGACCTTGCACGAATTCGGTTACGCTCAGTAACCACACTTGGAAAAGGTCATGGATGTGGAGACATTCACTCAATCGGATGTCATGGCTCAGCCTTGAAGACTCGCTCAATATGTGTAACTTATTACTATTCACGTTAAATATATTATCCTATCCTCAGCACAAATGTGCTCTCTAGAAGTTTTATGTATCATTGTTAATTATCACGATACGATGAGTCAGTGTAGACAGTGATGTGACTTCTACGTAAGATCTTACAGATTAGGCGATCACATGGCAAATTTACCTTTTTGGGATAAGGCCTATTATCAAAGTAGTATCAGTACCAAACTATACTATAATTATACATATTAACAGGATTTTTAATGCAAAAGACTGTGTATAGTTGTTGTATCATTATTTAAATAATTCATTAGATGAATGAACGTTGCAGTTGGCAATATAAAAGACAGTTATCGCCAACTTGTAAATTGTTTCTCCTGTAGCGGTAGATAAATCCCCAAAATCATTAGCTCTGTAGGTCTTCGACATTGGATGTTGACCATATTAGTTTTAATGGGCTCACGTAGCTGAAGGCGCACGGTTACGCACTTGCACCAGATCACGAGTGGGAACGCTGTGCCCAAGATCCCCTGCAATCGCCAGCCAGCCTAGATCAGTCGATCCTCGATATATTGATAACCTATCAAATATATATTCGAACCTCCTTGCTTCTGTCTTTTGATTTCACTTGGTGGGTACGATTCATGTTAGGTGTTACTGGCTAAAGTGTTGGAAAACTCCAAATACCTGTGGTATCTTCACTCCACGTAATGTTCCATATTAAAAAGTTCGCTAAGTTGTGTCACGGGCATAGGGATGACTATTGGAAGGGTTTGAGCCTTTTAATTAGTTGACAGAAGTCGTAAGTTGCATGTCAGAAGACGTATGAGAACGTTTTCAGCCTCATGCAATTCTGAAAAAAGAATCAAACGTGAGACAAACGATTAAACTTTGCTATCTGTATCAAATTCAATAAGTAAATGGTATAGCAGCTAACAGAATGTACCTATAAGTGTATTACGTTTAAATACTGATGTTTATTTCCTAACCCTCCCAGGATTTTACTTAGTTATTTGGTATTAACAAAGAAACTGCAGGCACCAAATAAACGGATTCAAAAACTTCAATTGGTAATATGAAATCTGAGAAAAATCCAATTACAATGTTTATAATACTATTAGCGATTCACTGGTTACATACAACAAGGACATCACTGGTGGGCAATATTTACATAGTACTCACCAATATTCATTAGGAATTTGTTTGTAATTTACCAGTGATTGCGGATTCTGTTTACGGAAGTTCATACCTATAACAGGCAATTCATAAATTAGTATTAACTATGACATGGTTTAGTTACCATGCTCGAAACAAGTTGGCATCGCTCGACTGAGTAGTGTGGCACTTACAGTAATGTTATACACAGTTCCTGTATATGTTCATAAAGCGGGCAGAAAAGGCTATCAACGTTAATTGTTACTCAGATGATTTTTCTCAGATAAGTTACATGATAATGTGTCAGTTCAGTCGAAAATGAAGATAATTATAATGGATAAAACTGTTTATGGTTGTATATTAGCAAGTTATGCAATATTCATAAATAGTTTAATGCCAAATTGCTTCAACCTGTTTTGGAAACAACTACCAACACCCATGTTCATCACCATAATAACTAGGCAGGTGAATCCGCTGTAAAGTGTCTTAAAGCTCATTTTTTGTATAAAACTCTGATTGCTGTCTATTTCTGACTTGTTAAATGGTGAATTTCACTTGCCCGAGTTCGCATTGTTACAAATAACCACACTAGACTGACTAAACATTACTAGGTTGTGAGCAAAAACTACGTCAAACTATCAATAACCTGGAATAAAAGCTATGTAACAGGCACAAACGTCATGAAAATTGACGTGAGACGGAAAAATACTGTAAATAGCTGGTGAATAACGACATCCAAAATCTTCCATAAAGTGTAACATGTGTGCGTGAACCAGTAGCAGCTTCATATGTCGACACTTTAAAAAGAAAGTTGGGTCAACTGAGAGAGTATCAGTTTCTATAATAACATAGACAATCTAGCCCCCTGTTCTTTCAAATCTGAAACTGATGCAGAAAATATTCGTGCAAAATGACCTTGTTACCATAGTAACAAATGGACGAGGAGATTTAGATGTTTAGATTTGTGACGTTCTGAAACTCCTCTTATCAACCTCTGATACTGATTATCAGATATCTCTAATATCACAATTTTTTTGCTTGTCATCATTATCGATAATGTTCATTTCTTAGTGTAAGTGTACTAATATTAGTAGGAGTTAAATATTTGTTGAGTTGTCCCAAACTCCCAACATTGGGATAAAATAGATCAGTTTTGGATAAATTACAGGGCAGTGCCTCCAAAAACTTTGTATTAATTTTAGCTAACTGCAACAATCGAACGTTGGGAACTGCATTGACCATGACCCTATGATGCATATGCATCATATGATTATAGCAGTGTGCCTAGGATATTCACCAACAGCCGGACAGCTTACTCAGTATATTTATTCAAATATTTGTATCGTCGATGACTCACAGTATTCATTTCTGATACTGTTATACATACTTAGTAGCCTTTGAATACTTAACAAGTAATACATCAGTCTTCAGTCTTCAGTCTTCAGTAATAAGGATAGTAGGTTGATGAACCTGTGTTAATCCTGACACATTGCTTTCCAGTGAAGGTCCAGCTTTTCCTTGAAAGTATTCACTGATGGGGCTGATACCACTTGTTCGGGTAAGGCGTTCCAATGATTGACTACTCGATGAGAAAAACGGGATCCCACTTTAAGTTTATGGGATCGTGGTTTATGAACCTTCTTGCTATGACCTCGGAGATTATTAGTGCTGGAGGGAGCAAAAGGATAAGACATATTAACACCCAAATCATAATTAAAGATACGAAATGCCAGTATAAGATCACCTCGTGTCCTACGATACGACAAGGGGAAAAGATTTAGGCGTTTTAAGCGCTCATCGTAAGGGAGTCTAGAAAGACCCTTCACTAATTTCGTTCCCACACGCTGGACACGCTCAAGGGAGTTAGTATCCTTTACTAGACACGGGCTAGCTGCTTGGATACAGTACTCTAAATGTGGTCTAACATATATGGGATATAAAATTCTAAACGTTTCCTGGTCAAAAGATTTGAACGCTCGGCGAAGTGACCATAACGCACGAAAACCTTTGACAGCGGCTGCTTTGCAATGTGCAGTTGTTTTTAAATCATGACTTAATATTACTCCTAAGTCGTTATGCTCTTGAACGCATGGAAGAGGTTTACTCTGAATAGTGTAACGGTAACTATTACCGTGACCGATGTGCATTAGCACACTCTTCCTAGCATTGATTTCTAAGCCCTACTCTCAAGCCCATCCAACTAAATCGTCTAAGTCAGCTTGAAGATCTAGATGATCAGCCGCACTTTTTATTGTTCTCCAGATTTTTACATCATCCGCAAACAATAATGTCGACGACCTAAGTAACAGTGGTAACTCATTAACGTAGAGAAGGAAGAGCAGAGGGCCTAAGATGGTGCCTTTGGGTACACCACTTTTGACCGGCTTCCAATCGGATAGCGTTCCGTTGACCCTCACTCTCTGTCTGCGGTCACATGAGAAGTTTCCTATCCACTCATGTACAGTACCTATTATTCCGAAGCTCGTGAGCTTCTGCATAAGACCTACGTGTGAAACCTTGTCAAACGCTTTGCTAAAATCTATGAATATCACGTCGACAGACAGACCGTGATCTAGGGCTGCTGTCCAATCCTCCCTCGCAATAAGCAAGTTAGTCAAGCATGAACGCTTGTTACGAAATCCGTGTTGCTCAGGAGCTAACAGATTGTGTAAATCTATGTGGCTTAGCAACCTAACCCGAATTATCTTTTCGAGTAACTTAACGACTATACTAGTTAGACTGACAGGCCGGTAGTTAGATACTATCTGTCGCTGACCGTCCTTAAATATAGGACTAACTATAGCGTCCTTCCAATCTCTAGGGAGTTGAGCGAGTGAGAGGGACATGTTGAAGAGTGTCGCAAGCGGTTTTGAAATAATGTCCGCAAGAGATGACAGCAACCGTGGATGTAACCCGTCAGGGCCCGGTGTCTTACCAGGTTTGAGGTTAGTTATCAACGGAAGGACAGTTTCCTCAGTCACCTGTACAGATTCAATGGTTGGTATCTCGGTGTGAATGGGACAAGTATTTGTTACAATAAACGTAGGGAAGACTTCGCTAAAATAATCTGAAAAAGTCTCAGCTTTTGCTCGATCTGATTCAGCTAGTAATTCTGAATTTTCGTGTAACAGCAACGGGGGAATACCATCACTACGTTTCATTTGCCGTTTAACATACGAAAACAATCGTTTCGGACAAGTACGGCTATCATATACTAACTGTCGTTCGTAAGTGGTACGGGATTTCGCTATGGTTTTCTTACAGATATTACGGTATTTTTGGTACTCATGCTTAAATGGTGCATGACCTGTCAGCAAGAATAAGTCCCAGAAATGTTTCCTACGCTTTAACAGCTTCCGGGTTTCCTTATTAATCCATGGAGGGCAATGTGATAGCTTACGTGCTGACCATGGGATAAACGGCGACGTTACGGACTCGAATGTAGCCTTAAACTTATTCCATTCATCTTCGATCAATCCATCCGTGTCGACCGACCAATCGGTCGAGATAGCACAGTTTCTGATTTCCGGAATATTAGCTCGCCAGGTATTGGGACGGGGTGGAGCAGATACGAATTGTATACCGTGTGTCCTAAACGTGAAGTGAATTACAACGTGATCACTGTTCACTAGTGGAGGAAGGTGCTGGATATCAAAGACATCCTCAGAGTGGTGGGTGAGGGCGAGGTCCAGCAGTGACGGAACATGTTGCAAATCAATATGTGTCGGTTTTGTGATACATTGTACAAGTGCACACTGAATAACGGTAGATAAAAGGTCTCTATCGAAACCACTACCTGGAGCTGTAAGCTCTATCCAGTTGATATGCGGTGCGTTGAAGTCTCCAATGATGAGACAACATTCTGCCATACTCCAAGAACAGATGTGTCTTAGAATAAAGTCGTCAGCAAGACAAGACGGACTACGGTATATTCCCCCTATAGTCACTAACCCATTTCTAGATTTAATCTTACAACATGCAACCTCACATGTGCCACTGATATGAGCCTCCGATATGATTGGTTGTATACGAAAGTGATCCCTAACGTATAATATTATACCTCCCCCTTTGCGACTTGAAACTCTATCACTTCTGATACAGATATAACCAGTAATGAACGGAGAACAGTCTATATCAACGGTGAACCAAGTTTCTGTAACAACGATTATATCGGGACATAATTCTTGCACCACCAGACTTAGCTCGGACGTTTTATTTCTAAGACTACGAGCGTTCGTGTAGCACACACTTAAGGTGTTTTGGAAATCAATCGTTCTACCCATACAGGCCTCGGAAGCATTGGCTTCCAAGACCTGACTACCCGAAAACCCTTAATGGTAAGGTTATTTTCGCCATTTAATTTGCGAGTCCTCAACTCCGTAAGAGCATTCTTCCACTTGATTCGATCCTCAAGCGGCCAATCTGGTCGAATACGGATATTTGAGGCACGAGTTCTTAGTGCGCTTTTCAATAATATGTCTCTTTCTTCGAAACTCCCGAGAACCAGCTTCAGGATCCTTCTTGGTTGGGTCTCGCCTCCAACCCATTTACCAAGTCGTATTACTTTTGTAATATGTACCCCTGAAACCTCTTCAGGTAGTACATTCCTTACCACAGACTCCACTAACTGCAGGTCATGTGCATGTCTTTTAGCAGGGTCGTTGTCTTTCGACTCCTCTAGATTCCAAATAATTAAACTAGGGATGGGTTTAGCTTCTTTTGAAACCGTGTTCACAGCTTTCGACCGTGACGTTAGATCCTGTATTTTAACTACTGGTATCTTACGATTAGTTTTTATTTTAACAGAGTCCTGGGAGTCAAGCGAATGACTCACAACAATGTTAGACGAAGCTTTACTATGGGACTTTGGCGGATTGGTCTGAGAGTCCACCAAGGACTTACCAAGTAAACAGTCATTAGTTTTAGCTATCTTTCCTACTCTTCTGCGTTTTTGCGTCATCCATTTTCCATCAGTGGAAACGTCTACATTAGAACAACTCGGGACAGTAATTGTTTTATCTGGGTCACCGGTTGCTGCTGTAGCAATATGGCCACCAACGTCTAATGACGTGTCACTCACTGATCGTTTCGGGGGAGAACGTTTAACTGCGGGTTGCACAGGTAGATGTCTGGCATGCGCCGTGATAGCACTCACGACACTAACGCAATCTTCGCCATCCGTACCAATGTTATCAGTACAGCCCTCATTAACATTCTTATTAGCCAACACCAGGAGACTAATTGCTTCCTGGATAAGCAATGTTTTGCTCGAGCAACAAAAACTACAAAGCCAATGAGAGTTGGGCTTTGAACACCTTTTATATGCAGTGGGGCTTAATCGGGTGCACATCTTATGGAACCACTTATTACACTCATCACATTGCATCCCTTCATCCACGGGAAATAAGCAGTATGGTTGTCCGCATTTATGAGTAGACCTAGCCATCTTGAAAATCAACTAGAACGGTGACAAAAACAGGATATGTAGAAGGATTTTCAAACCTTAACTAAATAAACCAAGTAAAAGTCGACCAAGTATGCTTCGATGCAATAAATACACAGAAGCAAAATCGAAAAACTCAATAAAATATCACTTTAACTAGGGTAGATGCAATTAAAGTGTAAACAGTAGTTTTGATGAGTAATTTACGATCAAAACAGTTAATTAACTCAACGAGAAAGAATACCACTGTCCTTTTAAATAGAGTCGCGTGAAATTCGTACGTTCTAGCAAAGTCATACTCTGTCTTAAAAATAATATATTTTAATATAAAATTGTAAATCTCTGCTATAACTTGTGGCCGCCGATTAGAGAGGAGTGAGTTATCGATCGGATCAATGACGCGCGAACCCGTATGAGCAGCCTAGAGTTCTGATTGGCCCTGCTTTTCACCTAGCCCAGCCAGTTGAGTCCAGAACACCAATTGGAGCCTCTGTAATGTGAATCATTATATTTCAAACATACTGAGTTTATATACCAATCAAACAGACCACAACGTAGCAATAAAATATGAAAAGACACTTGTACAAGAATTAGCCAGATGTGGCTGTGAATGAGGGAGGTAGTAATTAATATACTGGGTATAACTCAAGAATGGTAAAACGTATAATAATAGTTTAAGGGTCAAAATAGAGCTTATAATAAGAGGAATATGAATATGTATGGTTTAGTTACTTAATAATTATACAATAGAAATATAGGTTTAGTATTGGTCCATAAATGGATCCCAAAAGTTACCATTCATTATTCTTGTCGGAACATAACAGTTTCACGCATAATAACCCTTTAAAAAGGCAATAAATTTCAAAAATCCTATGAAAAAGATTTTGAGATGGCAAGAATGACACCAAAACATTTTTAAAGTGCATTTACACGTATGCAAGTAAGTAAGTACTTACGTCATACATGTCATCTAAGTAAAAAAATCATGGCATTTCAAGGATCACATGTACGCCGTATAGTTATGTATAGAGCTTCGAAAACTTCAAGTCCGTGGCCGTAATTCGTTGGGATTCGAGGTGTATACTGTTGAAGATACCTGAAATTGTTGCCTGTCTTATCATGCTACAAATAATGAAACAGAAAATTATTTGTAAATTAGTCGATCCCTTTGATAAGTTCCAAAGTATGGGCTGTGATTTAATGAAGATTTATGAAGCCTGCACCTCATAGCAAGATTGTCGTCGTATGGGGTTAATTGTTATCATGCAAGGTAACGGCTTACAGTTGTAACAATCTTCTAAAAACGTTTTAATTTTCCACTGTTTTTTACTTGTGTTTTCCCATTGTTGAGTGCTTTAAGTTTCGTTTAATTACTCATAATGATAGTTATGCCTGATTAATAGCAATTTTCATGTTTTCGTTCGTTTTATAACTTTTTAGATTGATAGGTTGGTTGAATTGATTTGTTCTTTCAGATATACAAAAACCATTTTTCTCCCACTCACACTTGAAGGACAATTGCAAACAAAATAACAACTCGACGCCATATGAAAATGAGTATCACCTTATTAGGTTTTAAAACTATGTTAACGGAGGAGTTAGGTAACAGTTTAGAAGAAGATTTAAGACAAATGGTGGTTAGATAGCTTACTGTTTTAAATGAACGAGTGAAATAACTTTGTAGATTTCGATAACTACACAAGAACTTGAAAAAATAAAACAAGAACTCATTTGTTCATTTAAAGACTCAGTATGTCCACATTTACCTTTTTTAATTTACTAAGAAGTCATTCTCTTTGGATGGGACACGATGGTCCAAAATAATCAAAACGTTTGCGAAGATTGTAAAAGAACTATTTTTAGGACCCGGAGCGGAAACAAATACGTCGGCATTTTCATCTCAACAGGAAAGCATTCCAAAGGGTATTTACAAAATTTACTAAATTTTTGAAAGCTTTTAGGGAAATAGTGTACATGTACAATAAAACAGTATGCTCTGATAATCAGGGATACAGGTAATGTGGACCACTTCAAACGAAAATTGCTAACTCTAATATACATTCCAGTGATATAAACAATGGACTATCTTTAGAAGGTATTCGAATTTCAGATTTGGAAACGTATATATCAATCATGAATTATTGCAGAAAGTCAGAGAAGCCCTTCCCAGTTTGAAACAAACTACCCCACTGATTTGTCCACAAATGTTTGCACTGACTCCGAATGTGAATATTTTAAAGTGAGTTCTTCTCATCGTTTAGGAAGTGGGCCCATAAATAATTAGCGATAGTTTGTTTTGTATGTAGAGAAAACTAAATTTTTAAAAGGACCAATGTATACATGAATAACTATCAAAGGAAGGAACGGCACATATTAGTAAATAGAGTAATAATTTCATTGCGTATCATTTACATCAATAAATATTAATGGGACACAGAACCGAATAGACAGATACGAAGACACTAAAAATGGAATGAGATTTGTGATTGTTGATGGTGAGCCAACGCACTCAAATGAAAAAGATTTAAAAAAAACAATTACGTACATAAAATAGTTCACTGTTACAGTATAACCACGTAAGTTCAACAGATGATTCAATCATCAAAATACTAATATACGAAGACATTAAATATCTTGAAACAAGAAAGTAAGTTAGCAAAAATAAATGACTAAGACTAAAGGCTATACAATGATCGTAAATTTATTTCTTTTGTACTAATCCTTTTGATTATAAATATAATTTTTTTTACATCCCAGTGAGTAGGAAATTGTGTTTTTGACGTTCACTGGCTTAATGTAAGCCACTTCTGAGTAAATAAATAACCGACATTGAATTAAAACAAGTTTAAATAGTACAAAGGAAACCATGAAGATTATTTTCAGTAGAATCAAAATCATAATAGATCTGAATATGCCAATTTCCAGTTATTATTGGTTTAGATGAATTTGTATGACTTGTCACTGTATTAAATTTCGTGTCAGAAGGTGAGAATGAAGCAGTGAGATCCCCCGTGGATGGACCAAACCATCCAGCTCAGAGAACAAAACTCCACCAAAATCATCCACCTGAGCTACAAATCTTCTCCACCATCTACTACTTTGTTATAGCACATCAAAACAGTGCAATGAAATCTCAAATAAGTCATAGTGATTAAGGGGAGCCTTCGTAGTTATTGAAAAGAATGAAGTTTTCAATAGAGTAACATTACTAATTTTTGTTCAATTTATCCACTTGTAAGCCAACCGCCTTCGCGAAAACTAATTGTATCTGATTTATTTATTCTACTGGTTGTAATTGTCTTTATTTACAAGTTGCTTGTAAAGTAATCATTATTGGTACTGATGAATATAGGTATTGTAGTAGTTGTACAGTTGAGATATGTAACATGCTAATTCAAAGATTAAACTCTTCACTCTAATAGATTGATTACATGTGACTTGGCAAAGAAAAATGAGATATATTTAAGTTTTGATCAATACTGATCAAGAGAACCTGTAGTATTTTGTAAAAATATGAAATTTAAGGATTTCGTTTAGTCAATACTTTGATTTTTATTTTATTTTAAGAAATAGTAAATAAGATTTATTTCAATGTTGAAAGTGCATTAATATTCGATATGAATGAAAAAGACTTTTACTTCCAATACTATTTATTAAATAAGTCAGTCTCAAATCATGTATTTTCATTACTTACAATGTGTGGGCGGCGATCAGGATTTTCATACTGATTAAAGTCTGGTATAGCACTTAAAATCCAATCATCTCGATATGACTCTGTAGGACTGACTGCTAGGGGAAAGAAGTGTGTTTTTTTAAAAACACCAAGTACTTTGTTCTTTAAATGATAGTTAATGTAATAGTTTGGTTATGTTGTTTGACGGACTATTGTTTACTATTTATATGTCTTTTAACATATATTTTTGCTGGAAATAGTGTTGTGATTGCTTTATTGTCTTAATCCGTAAAGTTAGTAGATCGGTTGTGTAGTATTAGTCTTGTAGTAGGTGTTTCTATGAAGACACAGTTTTAAAACTGTTCGTCAATTGGACTGATTCTGTTTGTTTGAACAAGGCATTCCAGTCGTTGACCGTCCTACAGGAGACGCAATCGAAATTTATTCAACCGTAGATTTTAGAATTCTTTGTGTTAGCCTTTAAGATATTTACTTTTTTTAAAAAGCTTAAAAGATGAAATCTCTGTGAAACCTAAGTCACTAACATCATTGTTAGTCGAATACCACTGACTCCAATTGTTTCAGCCTAATCTAAAAAAAGAGTTACAAATGAATTACGTCTTGGATTTTTACTTTACTAACAAATTCGATTTCGGAAAGTCAGTGATTCACTTATCAAAAACTAGTAAATAATATTTTACATTTCAGGTCGGTGTATTACGTAACCTATCTGATGAAATACTTCTAAATCAACTACAAGCTAAACCTATTCTTAGTATATCTCAGCAACCAAGTTTCTTAATGAAGTCATTTGAAAATACGGTAAACAAATAATTATAAATGTTATAGTTATATTGAACGATAAGTTATTTGTTTAGAGGACAACACCTTCTAGACTTAATTAATTTTATGATACAATTTTTAAATAAGTCTAGTAAGTATTTATCCACGACCATTTGTTATATCTCAAGGGGCAGCCGATTAGGTGGGCAGTGACTTATCGATCAGAACAAGGGATTAAGAATCTCGATAGACTATTCTGGCCCGTTGTCCCCGACTCAGCTAACGTGATCAGAAGTCTTTGTAAGGCGTAGGAAGTGTATTCTACAGGCAAACAGCAGATACCAGGTCAGGTCAAGCACAGAAGTCAAGCGTATTTACACAAATATTTATAATCGATATTGTCACAGTAAAATGTTTTTAAACATTAATCAATAAGTTTATCAATCGACAGCTATTCAAATATTTAATCGATAATTTCGTCAATTGACTGCTATTCAAACATTTAATCGGTAAGTTAATCGATAAGATGAAATTACAAAATATGAGATTTGGGGATCTATCGTCCCCAACATCATTAATAAACCGGAATAGATGATTTCCATGGCATATCGATTCAAAATGTCTCTGAGAAGAAAATAAACACTGACTTCACAATTTCTTTTTTTACTAAAAAAAGAAAGCTAGTTAGCCGGCCACTTTTAATATAACAGTCTATTTAATAATAAAGATACTTGAATGTTTTATCTCATGTTTCAACTAATGCATGGAAATTGTCTTAACTATGCACAAATATGAATAATGACTGACATAACAAATATCTTTTCGACAAACGTAAAACCACAATTTACATGTTACATCTTTAAATTCTATATGTCAAGGTAAAGTAAAGTGAAATAATTTACCATTGACTAATTTTTATGGGTAAACAGAAACTAAAGTGTGAAGATAGATTAGTACCATTTTCATTCAATTTGTCATTTCATTCGGTTAAATATGTAGGATAATAACTTCTAACAAAATATGGTTTTACGAATGGGAAGTGAATTACTGTTCTGTAGTTAAAATAATTTGTTACTTGAATGATTAAAATATATTTTACATCAGATAATGACTGATGTTCTCAAATAAGGATCACTAGATTTGGGCATGAAAGGCTAAGTGCAGTCTTTTTCATCATTAGAACTGAGAGTAGAAGTTTCAGTCACATATAGAGTTGTAGATCTAAACTTCTACTTATTACCGTGCAACGGTGAAATAGTTTTACGGTTCTCCTCGAATTTCAGAACTCCTCCTGATTAGGACCATTTGTAACAGAAACCGTTTACCCTGTCTTCAAATATTTTACATATGATTTAGTAAAATTTAATAGGATGTTATATCTTAACAATCAAAAACTGACGACTTCTTCCAGGTTATACTAACACCTGATGTAAGGCCTACTGACAGACGTTGTGTCTCCGAAAATTTACTACAAACAATGGATCCATTATGGAATGAATATGCAAAAGAAGTAAGTCACTCCTTATATATTCAGTGGCTGGCTGACTGACTATGTATTTTAGTGGACTACAAGTGAACATTTACATGAATAAATGTTTGGCCCAGTCATTGTCACTTGTAATAAATCAACTCAACAATAAGTGATTAGGTAGTTACCAGAGTCAAGTATTCAATTGTATTGATCAACTTTACATTTAGTTGTAATTTCATATTTAACATAAAAAGTATAGAAATAATTTACACATTGTCTCGAAAACAATAATTTCATCTTATCTTTGTGAGGTTCTACTCCTGAAAATATATTCGACTTTACTTGACAAGACGAATGGCAAAGTACCTACAATCACTAAGACACTTTAGTTTTTTTAAGATCAGTGATAAATGAAAGAAATGTGAATAAGACCATTTTTGTGAACATAAACAGTTGATAGTAACAATATTTAAGCTATTTGTGTTAAGATAAATTTAATGGAGGTATTTTGCGACAGATTTTGATCAAGTGGTTGAAGTAGTCTATACAGTATTATTAAACTTAACATAATAGTTGCCCCCACGATAATGTATATATAAATATATAAAGCAGAATTGGTATGAACTAATGTTACTATATAGAATGAAGTGGTCGTGATTGTTGACCACTTCATTCATCTTGGAAGTTATCTAAACGCTTCTGTATTTGTAGTTGATGAAATTTTGAAAGGAGTGCAAAAGATTTGTTTCATTGTTGTCAACTTGTTCTATTTTTGAAACAAGTAAAATATTCATCGTCCTATCGATTGGAAAATATACTGAACAGTAGTTCGTTCTGCATTGATCTGTTGTTGGGAAACATAACTTATTAAAGTAATTTGGAAATATTCGACCACGATTATTTTTGATGTATTTTTAGTTTATTCTGTTGTTCTGTTGATGCTCAGCTTTAACAGACACTGGTCATTGAATGACATGCTGTTAGTTATCTTTGATTTATTACTCGGTGAATGCTTTAATATGATAAATAACTATGTTTTTTTGTTTTGGAAAAACATCGTTTGGAAATAAATATATAATAATATATTGAGGTTGATGAAGAAACTGACATTCAATTGGATAGAAATTTGCCTATTATTGATGAAAATGATGAAATCTTTACTAATCTTATCAATACAATCGCAAAAGATTTCAATGAGATGAAATTTACCAGTGTAAGTTACAACATATATGATACTCCACATTTGTGTAATTTTAATTCGTACTTTCATTGCATCTGTAATAACTTTGAAAAGAATAATAATTCTCGAGTTTGTTGGATTAAGACATGCCTCCAAAGTATGGATCTATAAGCATTACTTCAGGTCACGTAAATATAATATTATTTTACTGCCTTATGCTTTTAATAAAAGATAACAGAGAAGGTGAATGAATCCAAGTGATATGTAAAAAGGAGAAACCATGTTAGTGCAAATATAATCTGTTCTTATCGGAGTTGTTGAATATTCAAAATAATAAATGATTTGTGATTATTTGAATAATCTGAAGGTAATTTCCGTCATTGACTGAAATTAAGTGGGAAATTCGTGATATTCAGATGAAATCAAATACTTACAGATCCAACAAAACAAAATTCAAGATTATCCACAGAGACGGTGATTTAGCTATGAAATTAGACAAAATACAATATAAACCTTAAATAGTGAGATCTCTGAAGTATTGACTGAATTCTTACACAATCAAAGAACAATACTTTCCAAAATATATATACAGAGTTATTTATGTCGACATACGATATATGGCAGCTAATATCTGTGTCGGAATCTTAGTAGCAGACAATTTTAAGATGAAGATGAAAATTACAAACCTATGAAAACTGTCACAATATAGCCGACTTTCGACAGATATACTAGGGTTGAAAATATATATAGCAGGTATCAAAAAGATGTGATTACAACCATAAATAAAGTGAATATTATCAGCTGATGTTAATAATCAAGAATATCAGAAGACAATAGAAAAGTCACATTGGACGCTCAAAAGTTATTAGAGATGGAAAGGGTTCCTGAAAATGATAAATAGAATAGAGGAATATACAAAACGAAGTCGGACATAAAGAAGGTAAAGATATAGAATGAAAAAGAACTTAACACCGATAACGTCGAATGATATTTACTACGTACACTCCACCGATTGAATTTGCAAAGAGTGAACTATGAGAATCCATATTACATGTAAAACAATAAAATTCCCAGAGCTAAATTTGAAGGTTTCAGATAGTATATTATCTGTTTACACGTCAGAGAGCTCATTACTTACTTACTTACTTACGCCTGTTACTCCCAATGGAGCATAGGCCGCTGACCAGCATTCTCCAACCCACTCTGTCCTCCGCCTTCTTTTCTAGTTCCATCCAATTCTTGTTCATTTTTCTCATGTCTATCTCCATTTCTCGGCGTAATGTGTTCTTTGGTCTTCCTCTTCTCCTTTGGCCTTCAGGATTCCATGTGAGGGCTTGCCTTGTGACACAGTTGGGTGCTTTCCTCAATGTGTGTCCTATCCACTTCCAGCGCTTCTTCCTGATTTCTTCCTCCGCTGGGATCTGGTTTGTTCTCTCCCACAGTAGGTTGTTGCTAATAGTGTCCGGCCAATGGATCTGAAGTATCTTGCGTAGACAACTGTTAATAAACACCTGTATCTTCTGGATGATGGCTTTCGTAGTTCTCCAGGTTTCCGCCTCATGCAGTAGAACTGTCTTGACATTTGTATTGAAAATCCTGACCTTGATGTTGGTTGACAGTTGTTTTGAGTTCCAGATGTTCTTCAGTTGTAAATATGCTGCTCTAGCTTTGCCGATCCGCGCCTTCAGATCTGCATTAGATCCACCCTGTTCATCAATGTGCTGCCCAGATATGTAAAGGTTTTTACATCTTCCAAATCTTCTCCCTCAATTGTGACTGTATTGGTGCATGCTATGTTGTATCGGAGAACCTTGCTTTTCCCTTTGTGTATATTGAGGCCTATTGCTGCTGAGGCTGCTGCCACACTGGTCGTTTTCTCCTGCATTTGTTGTTGCGTTTGGAATAGAAGGGCCAGATCGTCTGCGAAGTCTAGATCATCCAACTGCATCTTAGATGTCCATTGTATCCCGCGCTTCCCTTCAGACGTTGACGTCTTCATGATCCAGTCGATCACCGGGAGAAAGAGGAAGGGTGAGAGTAAGCAATCCTGCCTGACACCGGTCTTTTTCTCGAACGAGTTTGTCAATTGTCCTCCATGCACAATTTTGCAGTTTAATCCATCATAGGAATTCCGTATGATATTGACTATCTTCTGAGGCACGCCGTAGTGTCGAAGAAGTTTCCATAGTGTTGTTCTGTCCACGCTATCAAATGCCTTTTCGTAGTCAACGAAGTTGATGTAGAGCGATGAATTCCATTCAACTGATTGTACCACAATGATTCATAGAGTTGCGATTCGGTCTTTACACGATCTATAGAGTGCTCATTTCTGATGAGTTATAAGTAGGTAGAAACAACTATCAACTTTCTCCTTGCTTTCGGTAAATCAACGAATGATTTAAATCAGAAATAAGAATATCTTCTTAAACATCTTTAATTACTATTAAGCAACGATGGTTAATGGCTATCAGTGGAATCGAGGACAAAGCGCGTTTCGTCCTGTTTGGGACTCGTCAGCCGGATGTACCTGCATCTCAGAGTTGATGTTCACTTCGAGACTCGAACCCAGCACCATTTGCTCCAAACGCCATCGCGTTATCCACTTAGCTGCTGAGACTGATCAATTGCAGTCTTAAATAACAATGTGAAGATACAAGTAAAACGACACCAAATGAATCTTTAATTACTGTTTAAGATATATTATAGTATTAATGAGGAAGAAGAAACTAACAAAATCACCATTTTTTAGGCAATGAAGTGATTGTTTTCCGTATGATCTTTCTACATAGGATTTTCATACTTTTATATCTTATCTATAGCTTAAGTAAATTCACTTTTAGTAAATATATATCACTCAAAATTCAAAACTTTTGCTTAACTTTATAAAATCACTAATTATTTTGAATTCTTTATCATAGATTACACAATGATAACCTGTTATTTTCGTTTTAAAAATTATAAGTTGAATCACTATCCAGTTCAAACATTTTATAACGATTTTTTATTTGGATTATCAATGTTTAATGTAAAACTAGTATTTACATTATATCATGTAAACAACCTTTCAATATCTAATTGTATAAATAGTAATATATTGTTTGATGGATTTACTGATCATAAACCTTCCAAACAAACATCTTTAAAAGTTCTACAGTCAATGATTTTTCAGCTCATGATATACCATTATCTAAAAAGAATCCAATGTTGTTACATACAAGTACATAGAGTTAAGATATTTTGACTTATTCTCAATCAATTTTGATAATGTTCTTTTTTTGTTTCTTTCTTAATTATATAAATATCATTATATACAAATTAAGGATAATGAAAATTTTAAATTCTTTGAAATACCAGTTCCTGATGAGATAGACATGAAACCAACTTATGAAACAGCTTGTCAATTATTCAATAATAATTCTAAATCTGTACTTACGAACCTCAGTCAATCATTTTTAATGGATAAATCAAAATGGATTTTACCGTAAGTGATAACAAACTTTTATTAGTTAATTTAATCTGAAAACAAAAGCATTCAATTGCCAGAACTTTTTTTTAGTACAAAACTTCATTCATATTTATGTTTAAAATGTAAAGATTTTTTAGGAGTTAATACTTTGCAGTAACAATGTAAGCTCTATCTCATTGAGCGGGGAGTTTTTTTCGTAATTAACTGATCAAATAATTGATGGAAGCGATCAATAGTTCTGTATAAATCAACCCAATTAAGACATCATAAGAAGAAGATAATAACTTTTTTATATAACACAACAAACATTTCAAACAAAACTAACCACAGTAACGTTTTTCTTTGTTTTACCTAACAGAATTTTGAAGTTGCACACTGATGAAGATGAAACTATGTTTCGAAGAACAAAAACACTGGTAATTTACAAAACGTTTTGAATGAATATTCTAAATATTTCGTTTTAATAATAAGGGACGTTTATCACAATGAATAGAATTATTACATCAATTCTTTTAAGCATATAACTTAGTTATGGTATAGTTATTATCATGCAACCAAATTGATTAATATTAGTACTACTGTATACTGTTAGAATTGTAGCTCAATAGTTGAAGTATAAAGTATTTCTTAGCTCCAATCATTTTGTGTTAATGATTACTGTGATAACCAAACAGTCGACTCTGTATTGTACAAGAGTGGTTGATAATGAACAGTTTTTAGTCATCTTCAGGAAAGCGATATCCAAATCCCAACTTAACAAATTTTCAAAACCGAAACCAATACTAAAGTCATCGCATAAATTATTAAGACATTCAAGCGCCTAATTTACGTAAATAATATTCAACCAAGATAATATGGTTGATTCAATCTTTACATAAAACAATAGTTAATCAGAGATACAAACTGATAAATCGATGATTACTGATATTTCTCCTGCCAAATCAACAGAACTAGCAAATTACACTCACTGATTAATCTTTATGTAACTACAAAAAGTAACTAGAAAGTAGGTTTTCACCATGTTTGTTGTTTATGTGTTACATTAGTTAAGTTTTAAAGGCATCTATCATATGAAGTTTACCATAAGTCAGTTTATTAACTATTTTCCATCTGCTGAAATTACCACTCGTCTTATTATTATTATGATGTATTCACTTTAGCCAAGTAGTAAACTGGATGAATTATTTATTCATGAAGTAAATAAATACAAAAAACGAAGTGAAAAAGTTGAAAATATATCAGTTGACAATTTTAATGAAAAATATAAGAAAACTTTAGCAGAATTAAAAAATGAAGAACAAAAGTTCAATAAGTGAGTACTTCAGAAAAAAATCACTAGTCAGTCATCTTTTTCTTTTCCAAAACAAACTCAGAGTTGATTTATTTAGAATTGTAATAAGATGTATGTCCCTAACTTGGAATCCTGAAGGAAAGCGGAAAAGAGGAAGGCCAAAGAACACATCAGTAGGCCTCAACATACACAAGGGGAGAACCAAGGTCCTCAAATTCATAACGGAGAACAGCAATCCAATCACACTTGATGGCGAAACTCTAGAAGATGTAGAATCCTTCACATACCTGGGAAGCATAATCGATGAACAAGGAGATTCAGATGCAGACGTATAGGGGAGGATTGGCAAAGCAAGAGCCACATTCCTACAATTGAAGAACATATGGAACTCAAAACAACTTTCAACCAATATCAACGTGAGAATCTTCAATACAAACGTCAAGGCAGTTCTACTGTACGTAGCTAAAACTTGGAGAACTACAACAACAACCATCAAGAAGGTACGAGTATTTATAAATGGTTGTCTACGCAATATACTCAACATCCATTGGCCGGATACCATCAGCAACAGCCTTCTCTCGGAGAGAACAAACCAGCTTCCAGCTGAAGAGGAAATTAGGAAAAGACGATGGAAATGGATAGGACATACATTACGCAAATCATCAAACTACATCACGAGGCAAGCCCTAACTTGGAATCCTGAAGGGAATCGGAAAAGAGGAAGGCCAAAGAACATATTACGTCGGAAAATAGAATCATATATGAAAAGGATGAATAACAACTGGAAGGATCTGGAAAGGATTGCCCAGAACACGGTTGGATGGAGAATGCTGGTGAGCGGCCTATGCTCCTTCACGAAGAGTAACAGGCGTAAGTAAGTAAGTAGGTAATAAGATGTATAAATCCACACTATGGATAGTTTATTGAATGTAATCAATAGTGTGTAGTGTCGGTTGCTATGCTAAGCCCACACAGCTTATTTTAGCTTTCGGATACACTAGTTTATTTATTCGTCTGGAGTCGCATTTCGGCGTTGTCAATTATTCGCTTATCAACCTTGACTTTTGATACGAGCGTATGTGTGTGCACTTCTTATCCTATTCGTCACATGTTTGTAATTTATTTTAGTTCGACTATAAATATCGATTAACGTTTGATTAAATTGAATTGGCTAACACGCCTTCTCTATCGCGCATCGTTTTGCCTCGCTCTCTTAGCTTCCTACCTTCGCTCGTTTGTCTAGATCAACAACTGTACGAAATATACTCATTCAAAAATCAATTCTCGTATTTGACTTGTTTAATTCCGTTATCCACTAACGCGAGTTCCGTCGATAATTATATGCAAGGATTGGTGACATGTATATTTCGATAATAATCATACATACGATCTAAGTGGAGTCAGATATTAGACCACTAAAAGTGTACAAAACAGAGAAAGAAATTTACTTTTATCTAGCAGATGTTTAATTACAATACACTATGTGAATACTAATGAATAAAATTTGATTACTTAAAGTTGTCGAGTTAGAATTTGAAAATGTCCCATTTTGATTGTAAGTTAAATTATTAAAACATTAAGATAAATATTCATAGAACAATTTGTATAGAATACTGCGGTTCTATTTAGTAATTATTGACATTTATTAATTCATCATATCCAAGGCGTGCAAAAACCCTACTGACACAACAAAAATCCAAGTGCCTCTTAATTAGCATTTTAGAAAAGAGATTTTTTCAGTCGACTATTTTAATTTTGCATTATTATTTTGTTTTAGTAAATCAATTATACTTGATCATTCACTTGGGCACTGCGGTCACGCTCTCAGTTCACTAAGACCACCTCTAATCCAAGTTCCTTTTCAGGTACCTCCAAAAGAACCCTTCCACGGTGTGGGAAACCGGGAGGTGATAACCACCCTCATACTTCTAACAACACTCAAGACCACTGTTTTCATAATCACCTTCTTTCTTCAGTTCTTATTTATTAAACAGTAGAATTCCATTTGAACTGCAAAGCTTCTCCATCTGTTATTTACATCTAAACGTTTTTGTTCGTTACATCATTTCACTTAATTAATAATAAATAACTACACAATTCATGATCTACAATTAAGAAGCAAATAATAGACTGTACAGTAATTTCAGTTAAGACAAATATCAACAGTTCATACACAAAGTATTGTCTACAATCAAATCAAAAAAAAAATAATTTTAAGGTGAATATTTATACTACAACTGGCCTGTTTGTCTATTCTCACCAACCAATTACAGACGTGAATAGTAAATTACCATACATAGAATTGTATTATGTATACAAATATATATTCATCATATAAACCATGCTATATACTTGGTGTTTCTTTAATTTTAATTTGACAACAATATATCAACCAAATATTAATTTATCATGCCGATAAAAAAACTAATCGAATGGCATCATTTACAACGTGTACAGTTTTAAGCTAAAAAAAAATATTGATATCATCTTTCTTTAAAATATAAAATGGATCACTCTTGTAGATTCTGAAAAATTTAACCATATAAACACGGATTATTTAACTACTCATATGAGTAACTGTAGTTCATATTTTCTTAACGTGGTTCATTCAAAACAAAGTTAAATGACTAGATTACAGATATAATAATTTATACCATTAAAGATTGTATGAATTTTATTTGGCTATTTCTTCATTTATTTGTTTTACATTAAGTCACAGAATATCAAAAATTTTCATTTCTACAAATTGTGATATCAGGATTGTTTATTTTTGATTGGTCGCATATAATTTTGATTTGGTTATTCATTCTCTGAAGAAGTGGTTTACACTGAGTCATGAAACGTCAGAAAATCTAATTTTTTTTACTCATTGGGATATTACAAATATATTAATTTATTTGGAAATATGTAATTGTTTTATTAATAATATTCGAGCCAATACCCAATTGATTTGAACTTATCAAGTCAAGCTTTGGTATTAATACCTATAATATCTTAGAGATTATATTAATACTAATTGATCATAGTAGTAATGTTTGATGTATTCTGTTTATTGATATTTGTATACTTCAATACATGGCATAATGTTGTAATATGGTGTTTGATGTACAACAGTTCAAATAATGTGGACTTGAATTGTGTGCTTTCTAATACATATATGACAGAAACAATTCATCTGTAGCTTGGTGTTTTGTTTAGTTTCTTGTTGGTTGTCTATAATTGATTAACAATTCATTCAAACAAATATTTGTCAACTACTTCTAACCATAGGTAATTAAATTTTTCATTCCTCAATTTTAGCCATAAACAATGTATTTTTTCTTAAAAAAAATTGTTATTTCTTCAAGTTGTACTGTGTGTATGTTCTTCAGATTAAAACAAAAGTTAATAATATGTCAGTACAAGTCCAATGAAGTGCCGTTGTGGAATACAGGCAATGATATGATAGTTAATAATGACAGTAGTAAGTGAACAAATACGTTGTAACTTTACATAAGTAATTTTCAATATTTATTATTCAGGTAATCCGTGTTTTGAAGATAAAAATATGTTGCTGAATGTTAAATTAGTAAAAAAACTTTGTACTTTTTATTTCACGTACTATTTAGTAATAATCATTATAACGTTAACCAATCACCGCATAATCTTGTAAATTATAATTGATTCTTATCATTTTCATTTCAAACAAGAATATCTGTCTTTTTAACTTTTGTTTTCCCCAAATCAAACATAACAGTCAGTTAAACATTTAAACAGAGATGAATGATAGCTAGCAGCGAAATCTAGGATGCGTGTTTCATTTTATTCTAGACTGGTCAGCTGGATGTATATGGATCCCAGAGCTGATGTTCACTCTGGGACTCGAAACAAGTGCTGTTAGCTTCCAGAGACAGCATATTTTCCGCTCAGCCATTAAGTCTAGTTAGCCAGTGGCTATCGATATCAAGTGGATTTTAATTCATATATACTGGTTGTTTACATCTCCAATTGATGTTTAGGACTGGGTAAAATGCCCATGACTTATTGGGAATATCGAGTCAATCCAAACAAGATTCACTTATGTCAAAAAGTGACTGATCTATTGCAGTTCTAATCATTGATGAGAAGATCCAAACAACCAATATATATTAGTCAGTTATAACGTCGAAATAATACTGCGAAATCATTACAATAAGTGATTTGATTAAAATAATAATCTGAGATTGAAATTCACCCAGAGATTACCAGTTATTTCACAGAGATACATTGTTCTTCTTCACTACGATATAAATACATACTCGGTCAACTGTATGATCCAGAGCAAAAAATTTTAATATTTTACTGACTTAATAATATGGAAATATAAGTTTACTTAATGAAACTACTTGTAAGAATTCTTTATTTTCCAGTTGTTGATACTTAAGACTGCATTTAATGACCCTCAGTGGGTACCTCCATATTATCTGTAGTTAAGATAAGAGTATCAAGATAAGACAAATGTAAACCTTTGAGAATACCTTCATACACAATGAACAAGATATTGGCTATCTGAGTCAACAGGTTAATGGAAAATACGTTGGTGTTTAAAATTATGTATACTAGATTTGAGTTTCTGTGTGAATATTAGCATTGAGTCATAACTATTTCTAGTAAACGATTAGCAAACAAAAAATCGTGGATCCTAGAATCTAAAGCTGTTCAACAAACAAAAATGTCCAACAAACTATTCATAAAATCCACGATCCCGCACCCCGCGAGATTTGAACCCAGGACCCAGGAGTACCATACTAAGACGAAACGGCCATCCAGTGCTTACAGGTTGTCCATGGTTGTCTAGTTAAAATTGACTCATGATTTCAATCTGTGAAATTTCTAAAATCCCCACAAACCCCTTCTTTCATAAAATATCCATCAGTTGTTTTTTTTTAGTATATGATCTATCTGTAGTGAAAAACCGGCTACGTTAAAAAGGTTAGAATCCACATACATTGATCAAGATACTACTCAAAAATTGATCTTAAATTCAGCGATACACACTTGATTGATGTGAGTCCGTATTATGAGGCAAATGTCATCGATTGTAAAACTATTTCGATTAAGACTTAATTTACTTTACGCATCATGTCTTTTAGGTAAACTTTCAGAAAAATCAACTGAAAGCTGGTTTTTTAATAAAAAATTAATCATTGTTTAATTCGTTGATTTTTTAGATAAATGGCTTAAATGTTTCTGTCCTCAACAAATAAACTGACGCCTCTCTGAGTTGATATTTTTCGGAGTCATGAATCCACATTGCTGAGATGCACCAAATCGTAGTGAAATGTTTTCGCCCTATTACTATCTGATCTTTAAATGTTCTCCAAGTGATGTCTATTCGGAAGGCAAAGTATTTAGAAAAAATGAAATCCAATTAGTTGTAACATTTTGAACTTTACCTTATCCTATGATAACGATTTACAAAGTATTTCCAGGCTTCTATTTCCTTCAGAATGTTAATAGTTGCATTCATAACTCGACATAAGCTAGACCACTATTGAAAAACCGGATATACTGGACGGCCGTTTCATCCTAGTATGGGACTGCTTATCAGTGACCTTTCACGATCCCGCCAGCAAGATTCGAACCGAGGACCTTTGGTTTTACAAGCAAACGCTTAACCTCTAGACCACTGAGATGGCCGGCATTCAACGGTGTTAATATTTAACTTCGATTGATTCATGATAAACCGTTCATCTATTGTCTGAGGTGGGTAACTGTCTGCACCCGACACCTATTGAACTCCACTGGTCACGGCTTCTCATGAATCGATTGACAATAAACATTAACACCGTTAAGCGTTCACTCGCGAAACCGAAGGTCCTGGGTTCTAATCATGCGCGCGGGATCGTGGACATACTGCTGAGCAGTGTTATACTAGGACGAAAGAGCCGTTTAGTTGTCCTAGATTTCCAATGGTGGTATAGCTTACATCGACTCATGAATTCAACTGTTAAAATTACTATAACCTACACACTCCATTGTGGTCTTTTAGAATTATCTTAGGATTCGTTCTTTTCATTTTTATTTTAATAACAATAATAAAATATTTGTTTTTATCCATAGTATGACTTAACTATACTACATCATTGCCTACTTTTTGTATTCAGGTGACTATGAGTTGTTAAACAATTGTGAAGAAAAAATCAATTTACTCAAACTTAATTTGATGAATTTAATTAATACTTCACCAGTTTGTAGTATTTACAAGACTGGCAAAGAAATGGTATGTCATATTCATTCATACACAAGGTTATTTATTTAATTTCAATAAATTTATTATTGAATGTGAAATACTTTATCGAATATACAATACATCGTCAATTATTTTTGTATTTGATATTGGTTTGGTCGATCAAACCATCCAGCTCAGAGGACAAAACTCAGTCAAAATCATTCACCTGAGCTACAAATCTTCTCCACTATCTCAATAGCATTAAACGCTTAATGATAATAACTAAATCTAATAAAATATAGAACAAACTAAAGTAACTATATTTAATATTCAAAACATTTAACTCTGTGCTTGTTAATGTACAAATATTGTATTATTTACTTATATGGTATGTGTTTGTGAATCATATAACAGATTTATTGAAGATTAAAGAGAAATATCGAATCTTCTATCATTTTTGAACAGTTAGGATTTAGTATTCAGTTTTTATTCTATTTGAAACTTATCAATCTGATAAATCTGTATTAAGAGTTCCACTGTTGATAGATGCTGTATACTGATAGCTTCTTAACACTTTATATACATACTGTTTAATGAATATAAATCTACTTATATTTGTATAAAATGATGATGACCTCTGTTAGAACTTCTATTTCTTTTTGCTTTACAACCAATAAACTTATCGTACAATATAGAATTTGAATATGATATTTTATCAGCAATAATCAACATCTTGTTTCAATGGAACAGAAGTGTAGTTTTACTATATTCTTTTTTATGAAAGAAACAACCCTTCATTAACTTTAATTGTATTCTATATCTTATTTGTAGTGTGATCATAAGTTAAACAGTATAAGAAATACAATTCAACAACGATTTCTTGTTGTATGGAATAAATTAAAACTTACTGAAAATGAAAAACAATCTTGTTTATTGAAATTTTGTTGGCAACATATGAGTGATACTATTTATATGGCAAATATGAATAAAGCATTAAACTTATTGGAATATGCAGCGAAATATATTGAACGTCGTGAAATGTTATTACATAAATTAGCAAAAATTGAAATTGAACATTTAATTCAATCAAAAAATTATAGTTTAAGTAAGTTGGGTAAAAAAATGTTTAAAAATATTTAAACTTCTTACAGTCAATAGAAACAATTAAATTTCGTTTATTTATTAATTTTTTTGTTTATTTCATGGTTTTATATCTACAATTGGTTCTGTTAAATGAGATACAGATAGAATAAGAATCTAAAATAAGATTTTACATTAACTGATGTGTAAGTTTTGGAAATTGACAATCACTAGATAGATATTTCGATTTCGATGAAATACTTCTCAGTAATATAAATCCTTAATCTTGAATTAATAGTTAACAAATTACTTTATTATCACCTAAAATGTCACTTCATTTTTAACTGATTCATTTAAAATCTATTCAGTTTAAATTCGATCAGTTGAAAGTATGGTATGATTAATTTCAATAATTGACAAGGTTTAACCATACTTGACTCAGTTGATAGTGTGTTATATTATAATAAGAATCAAATTCTAAAAATATGACTATTTGCTACCTATTTCAACTAATTTTCATAATAAAATAGTATTTCTGTGTCATTAGTTTTGCTCTTAGCGTTTCTAGAATTTCACTTTTCTTATTTCGATATCATATGAAAATGAGATATATTTGTAATAATTAACTGTTCACTGCGTTCTTCTTGAAAAGCTTAATAATAAAAATTATATTGACATATATCTGTTAAATGTTTTGGTAATTCTATTGGTTAATGTACAAACACTGCCACTTGTTCTTTTAACATCTTGTTAGTTTAATATTCGATAGAATCCCCAGAGATTAAAATGTTGCCTCTTTTCAAAATTACAGTTAGATTTCTCGTAAATCTGTATCATTTGTTTTTTTTTCTCAAACGAATAGCTCTAACTTATGTATATTTCTTTCAACACGATATTGACAATTTAATTTCGAATCCCTTCAAACATATACAACTTCAGGTTTCCTTGTGATGTGTTGCAATTTACACGCTATAGCTTATCATTAAGGTTATGCCATGAAGAAAATCCTACCTAAAAGTTTTCTGTTCCCATAAACCCTTTAACGTTTTGTATATGACGCGAACCATTAAATCGTAAAAATCTGAATTTAGTCAGTCCTAATTTTTTTTGATACATTTTTTGCACTTCATCAACCAAGGTAACTAGGACATGTGTTTCAAATAAATGTCAACCACCTGACCCAACACTATGCTAGATTGAAAAAGCAATAAGGACAATCTGAAAAAGACATATTATTAGATAATAAATTTACTAACTGTTAGTCAGAATTCAAATTCAGTAGCAACACCAAAGACGATTTTACGATTTATCGAACCCCTAATTGTAAAATTTTATTCTCACTCTATCCTGAGATAGTGAAGATTTGTAGCTCAGGTGGATGATTTTGGTAGGATTTTGTTCTCTGAGCTGAATGGTTTTCTCGTGAAGCTTTCATCGTTCTTCTGAACGACATCACCAGCACAAACTTCAGGTAAACATGAAATGTTCGAATTTCTCCACAAGTGGTTCACAGCTTGTTCTGTAAACCTCGATGTTGTCAACAAGGTCAACAAGAACCAATCAACATCGAGGTTTACAGAACAAGATGTGAACCATATGTGGAGAAATTCGAACACTTCACTTCTACCTGAAGTTTGTGCTGGTGATGTCGTTCAAAAGAACGATGAAAGCTCCACGACCAAACCATCCAGCTCAGAGAGCAAAACTCTACCAAAATCACTCTATCATAATCGTTCTCCAAGTCCACTTAACCGTTTTAAATTATAGGTCTTATTATTAGCTTTATTATTTATCACTAATACGTACTCATGGTTCACTATGAAACTAAACCTAATAACATAACGTTATATGGCAGGCATAATAATAACCATATTCATAGTATTGTAGTAAACATGACACGAGTGAGGACGACCGAATGTATTTGTCTCGATATTACATAGTATCTCAATAAAATCTGAGAACCATATAGTAAATAGTTAATTTGCAAAATATCAATCCATCGTCTCAAACTTCACTGTTACTTTTGCAAATATCAGTCCATTGTCTCAGATTTTACTGTTCATGCATTTTCATACCAATTGCGTTCCGTTTCCATTCTTCCCTTATCGATCTTCTACCGAAATATATTCTATACCTGACCACCATCATATACTACTTATATGGATACAAGTAACCCACACCACAGTATCATCACTTAGCGATCTGATCATAACAAAATGAAATATAGAAAAAAAACAGCTCAATGAAATCAAATTAGATAGTTCTATAATGTTTCAATCTATTTAATTGCATGTAATTATAAGTAAATAAATGAATTCTTTTGCAATAATAAACTATTCATTACCATCATATTGTCTAGTTGTGATATCATAGAATGTTTGTAGTTCTAATGAATTTTTACTCTTTAGAATTAATTCAATAAATTATATGAATGAACTAAGTTATTAATTGAATATTTCACTACTATATTAGATGATAATCATTTGGAATTGAAATGTTCAGATGAACGTTATAAAGTTGATAAGGTAAATATTATTATTGATTTTTCTTTATTTGAATTATATATTTATATTAATCACTTATTGTTTAGTAACCCGATAACTGATTCCAATTACATCGTATGAATGTCATTAAAATATATATGTTATCTATCCTTGTATAAAATTATCAACTTAGATCACGTTAGTGAATAATGTAATTAAACAAGCCAAATACGAGAAATGATTTTGAATATGTGTATTTCATGAACTCATCGATTTGATCAGGCAATCAGGGAATGAAGCGAAAGGACGTGCAGTGGAGAAGGCAAATGAACCAGCTTTCATTTAATCGAACAGTAATTTATATTTATATTCAGACAAAAATAGGCTACAGACATGTGATGAGTAAGGATAAGATGTGCGCAGGCGTACACTCATATAAAACAGTCAGGGTTGATTTGGTGAATAATTAACAAGGTCAAAACGAGACTCAAGAATGGATACATCGGCCTGTCCAAAAGGTAAAATAAGTTATATGGGCTTAACATAGTAACTGACACTACAATTGAATGAATGATTATTACACATTTTGATAGTAGAATTGTGTTAAAGTACTTTTCAATGAAATCTTTGTTCTATTCAAAGATAAATTACTTCATAATTTATGATTATTGGCTTATTTCGAATGAAAACGATAGACTGACAGTCTGTTCTATCATTAGTTAGGCTTCAATAATATTGAGGATTTAAATTTTTAAATTGAAATATTTTCTCAGACAATATAAATTTTAGTGGAGTTTTGTTCTCTGAGCTGGATGGTTTGGTTGTGGAGCTTTCATCGTTCTTCTGAACGATATCAGGTAGAAGTGAAGTATTTGAATTTCTCTACATATGGCTCATAGCTTGTCCTGCAGACCTTGATCTCGATTGGTTAATGTTGACCTTTAACCTGTTTACGGGAAATTCTTTGGAAGTGTATTATAAAACGTTTGTAGTGAAGGGTTCAAAATGTGTTAACTGTTCAAACGACTTATTGGAAATCTACTGTAGTACAACATGTTCAGCTGATAACTGCTCTTGAAATTACATCATTGCAGCAAACCATAAAATGTTAAGCTAGACTACCAGAAAATGCTAGTCAAAAGAATTTAAGAATGATTTCTGTTAGATGAGAAAGAATTTTGTAGACAATTAATGAATAATTATAAAATAGGTGTGTAGAGATTGCTGAATTACATTGAAATCCTAAATCAATCTGAGTAAGAACACCATTGCAAACCTGGTTGTTTAACTTGGATTGACTCAGGGTTTCAATGAAAATCATTAGTAAATTAGGCCAAAAATAAATGAGTTCATTAAGAAAATGATTGTGTGTTGATACACTGGTAACATCACTAAATAAACTATAGTTGAACTTGAAGTCGCTAAGTCATTCATGACTCATTTTATTTCACTTGCGTCTATTGAACTGTCGTTTATTTAAGGTTTATGAAGTGTAATACAGGACATAATTGTACTTCCAGTATTGTTATAATGTAAAATATTCTAACGAACATTTTTAATAAATTAAATCACTAAAATCTTTATATAAATCTATATTTAATAGAAATTTAACAAGTTGGAGAAACTGATTGTGTCTACTGCTAAACAACTGGAGAAGAAGTTTAATTATACTCTGACATTCAACGTATGTTATTAACTCATAAGATAAATTATATTATTGAAATTTCTAGAATTTCATGTTGGAGTAAATCAAAGACGTCTAAATGTGTTTGTTCCACAGAGGTATAAATTTACAATAATAATTGATCTTCATTTTAAACAAAAACATTTGGAATTACTATAATATCCACAATACCCCTTCTGATATTATTCAACATATGCTCACTAGTGACTGGCTTCAAGAGGTATATCCTGGAGTTCTAGAGAGAAGTAGTGACCAGTGGAGTTCAACCAGGTCTGTTGTGAAATAGTAACTCACTGATGACAATGGTGGATAGGTCGCTCAATTTCGTGGATTAGTTGAAGTTAGACATTAACGCCGTTCGATGCCGGCCGGCTCGGTGGTCTAGAGGTTAAGCGTTCGCGCGCGAGACTGATAGGTCCTGGGTTCAAATCTCACGGAGGGGCAGGATCGTGGATGCGCACTGCTGGGGAGTCCCACAATAGGACGAGACGGCTGTTTAGTGCTTTCAGGTTTTACATGGTGGTCTAGCTTCAACTGACGCATGATCTCAACCATTGAAAAAAAAGAAATGGAACCTAACAAAACGATTGTTTAAGAAAACAAACATTGAATTACATTAGCACCAGCTATTAGATGCATACTCTTAAAACGTAATAATTTATTGATGTTCTTAGTTTACATATTATGTAAAAACATTTTGTTAACCTAAAATATGGTTAATATAATGAGCTTTGTAAAACATATTTCAAGTAATTTATCTTAAAAAGGTATATCGATGAAAATGAATCGTTTGAAAAAATTACAAACATTTTGAAACAACACTTAGTATTGTTTGGCTTGTATCTTCCCATTGATGTTTAAGACTGCAATTAATCAGTCTGTTATTGGCATATGTGCATACTGTGAGTATGCCTCGATATTGCCTTAATTCACAAGCTTTTTGAAAACAATGACGGATAGTGGCTAGCAGTGGGATCTAGGACGCGCTCTTCTTCCTATTTGGGACTCGTCAGCTGGATGTACCTGCATGTCAGAGTTGATGTTTACTCTGGGATTCGAACCCAGTACCATTCGCTTCAAACGCCATCGCGTTATGTACTCAGCTACTGAGTCCTGATAGCCACTTGCTTGTGCAATGGGGTGAATTTAAATTCACTTGGTATTGTTTTGAAACAACGCCTAAATCATACATAATAGCATTTAGTGTTATTTGAAATATTTATTCCATGTTGCAACTACACTAAAATCATGATACGGTGTATTGTATTTGGTAATACGATACACAGGAAAAAATGTAGCTTACAGATTTGCTTACCTTTGAAGTATACGTGATTATCAATATTTTCTGTTAGACCTAATAAATTTTAATTGAAATCTGAAAGCTGACGTTTATATATATATATATGATTTAACTGTTTCAAACACCTTCATGCTGATTACCTTCAACGTCTAATGATGAAATTCGATCTTTCATCAGATCAGACGGTGAAATCTTCCGTTTCCTATGGACATCTGCCTAGAATAAATTGACTTCAAAACTTCATTAATTTGTTTTTTATGTGAAAAACTCCAGAATTCTTACTCTAATGCAATGGAATGACTGTTTTTTTCGTGTTGTTTTGAATCCTTAGTCACTAGATCTAATAAAAAATGATTCTATAGGAAGCGTCTCACTCTCATTCACCTTTAATACTAATACCTAAATGATTTATATGTGTTTACAAATGATCTTGGTGGCAATAATTTACTATGTTAAGAAACGTTCGCATGAGCTAAAGATAATCCGGACAAAGAACTGATAATAATGCACAACAGTGAAGAATTCCCGGACAAAATTCTCGAAGTCCTAGGAAGAAACCTTCGGATGTGAAATCATCTAAATTAATAGTGAGTTTAAATATCAGATGAAGATTGTCTTATCACACGTTTTTCAGAGGAAAAATGTATATTGCTGAATCCGTACTCTGTAGTTTAAGGAAACTGTGTCTCCCACGAGACCCGAAACCGCTGGTTTTGATTACGTGTAAATTATTAACATACATAAAAACAGATCGGTTAGCTAGAAGACAGAATTTTGCGGGTGATTTTCGAAGGTCCTGAAGCTTACATCATTTGTGAAGGAAGGTACTCTAGCTTACTAATTTAGACAATAGTAAAATATGATGCTACTTCCATAGAAGTTATATCATTATCTATAGAAGATTCCTAATGTTACAGCATTTGAGTTAAATATTTTCACTTTGCTTTTCAGGGTCAAATTTATCTTAAAAAGATGGTCCATGATCGAAGTGATCTGATTTATTTACTGAGAGAAAAGTACAAAAGTAAACCAGGACATGATAGCGCAATATAGAAGCTCCATCCCCAAAAGTACACCTATAACATTATTAACGGTGTTTGTTTTATTTCCCTCAATTTATATGGAATTCGGTGAACAGTAATTATTATCTGTTTTGCATATCTCTATGAATGTGAAACGGTTTATATGATCCAGTATAGGTAGCATAATGAGGATATTGAGTAATTCCAAACTAAAAGCGATACATTGTTGTTTTATCAGGTTTTAATAACAAATACATTGCGATTTCTCCATACAGGGTTAGTTAAATATCACTTTTAAAATCGTTGGTAGGTAAGGCAGAAATCTATTTCAAGCAATTAGTCCCTTTTATTAGTTTTGGTACATTAATGAAAGGACGGAGTTGATCTGACAAGTGTTATGTACATGCGTTATACATTCATGTCATGTGCATTTTTATGTGAAAGCCAATGAAGGTCAATTAAACAGAAACGATATTTGTAAATAAAGGAGAAAAAATCAACATAGTATGTAGAGAATGTAAATTTATCACACTGCTATTCTAGAAAGAAACATTGAGTTAAGTTTACCAGCGAAGACTCAAGTTTACGAAAAATCGTTTTTGTACACAAAAAAGGTCTGAATTTTCGAATAATCAATGCTATTAGACGATCATAACCATGCTAGTAATTCTGAAGAGAGAGATCTGGATTCACAGTAATCTAACAAGATAAGACTGATCCTAATGAGTCAAGAACTTCTACAAGATACAATCAGGAACTCAAATCGGAAGTACACAGTATGAGATTGTATTGTTTAAGCACAATATATAATATTTAAATGTATACTAAGTTTATAGTTTATTTACTAAAAGAGATAATCTAGAGAGGTGTTTGTAACCCTACCGCTAGTCAGAGAAACCTGTGTCAGAGTCTTACTTCATGCTACAAGAATACCCTTTAAAGAAAAATCTTAGAAGTGCACTCCTATTGACTTGATATGGTAAGTGAAAGTGAAGCTCAAGCATCTCCTAGCCAACTGGTCACAAAGAAAAGGTTTAGCAACAAATTGATAGTTTCAGAGCTCCCACAACCCTCTATGCAACTTCTACACCTCACACGTGATGTCCTATTTATACATAATTAAATCTCTAGGCAGTTTTTCTACAAAAACAATAACATTTGGACGTAGATATACATCTAAAAAAGACAAACTACATCGATACCTGATTATTTTTACGAGGAAAGTTATTATATATGTCCAACCATGATGATACTGATCATTGTACAATGAAGAGATAGTTTAGTACGGAGCATAGGAAATCTAGAATATCATATGCTAGCACCTTTGAGAATGAAGCAAGTTCACTCATCAAGCTTGGTGTTTTTGAAGGACCACGTTAAATATGTTTAAAAACCCATTTTGCAAAATACTGTTCAGATGTTGATAAAGCAATAGAATTCGTTCGTAAAAATAACTTGCGTAAAGTCTGTTTAAATGCTAACCATCTAACTAGGGATTTCCAGTCGCTAAAGAGATGAGAGACCAAATAGTTTGGTTGGTGATATCACACTACATCATAAGAAATGTGAGGAACGAACAGACACCATAGATGCCATCAAAATTAATACTCATTAGTGCATGGAAATTGATACAGCCTAAAAACGCAAAAACTATACATGAGAAGGTGTCACGCTAGCCATAATTCCTGTACTACTAAAAGGTGTCGAGATCATTCATACTTGGGCTTGTTGAATAGTGGGGCAGTTACTTCTTTTATTGCAGGTGATATAGTCAGTGAGCTAGGTCTACATGTAAAATCTAAAATATTATCTTTGACGACACTGAATAGTAAATCGTCATTGGCATGCAAGAAGTCGGTATAGAGCTTCATTCATAAGATTTTTCGTCGTCTGTTAAGATCCAGAAGTTTTTGACGGTCAAAAGATTATCGATAATGTAGACAAATCTGTTAACGGCGTATCAGAGAGCGTTTTGGTCTTACTTGAAGGATGTGGACTTTCCAAAAGAAGATGGTGAGGATATCAAGCTGTATTATTATTATTAACATTATTATTATTATTATTCACAAACATCTTATGGGCACATAAGTGTTATGAAGAAACCCGAAGTGGTTTCTCCAAAAACGCATTTATGCACAAGTTTCAATAATTTTAGCATTATATTTGCCATATTTGAAAAAAAGAGAAATAATAATGATAATAGAATAATAATAAATCAGGTTCTGTGTAATTGAGAAGAATATTGAATTGAGTTTAAAGAAGGAAAGGAAGAAAATAATGGAATAGAAATAAAGGAGAAATACGCGAATAGTTTAATAAGCGTGTTTATGAACACAGAACAAGTATAAACGACTATGTATATATCACCAAATTAGTAACAAAAATAAAATAGGAAATAACTATGAAAAAATAACTTATTATTGCAGTAAGATATGACGCTAGAATAAATGTTTGTGCAGTCATAGTTTGGAGTGATGCTATGAAAGTCTCAATTAAGTGAAAAGGATAATGAAATGTCAATATGTATGAATCATACATGCTTAGTGAAGATAAAACGAGTCTGCGAGGTTAATTTCAGTGTAACACAGGTACGAATAATACTTATTTAGAAAGAAGAAAGAAACGAACTGAACACCTAGTGAAAGGGTTCAACCATGGTAATAATAGCGTAATGAATATCGACCTCTGAAGTAAAATAACTTTTTAGTGAACTCGGATGAATACATGTAGATTTATGTAAAACCGGATATTAGTATAAACATTTGTGCAATAACAATTTAGAATGATGCTGTGAAAGTCACGACGAATTGCAAGGGATGATCAAATATAAATTTCTACGTGTTAATCTGAGAAGTTAATTTGTTTAGGTGTAGGATAAGATTTTTTCTGTTTCTAGCTATAGACTTTGAGTGTTTAGTAATGAAATATGTTTAGAACGGCAAGAAGAGATTAAAAGAATATCTAATGTGTTGAAGAACCAATAATGATAATAGTAACAGTAATGCTTATAAATACGAACATAAGCAGACTTCATATATTAAGATGAATAAAAATGAAATAAAATAGACGTTGAAAGTTTCCAAGTTCACACTTTGCTTTACAGTCAATTAGATGGATGACGGACCTTGTTTGTATAAATCATTATTAAATACATTGATATTCAATAGGTGACACAATCCATTTTCGGAAAGAAAATCATCAACGCGACTTCTGAACCAAGTTGTAGTGTCACTAAAACGGAGGCTCACTGGCAGTCTGTTCCACATGGTTGAGTAGCGAATAACGAAAAAAATGCTGGCGTAAGCTTTGTAGGTTCTTGGAATTGCTAGAATATTTTTCTTATTGCATAGATTGTCAGATGTTATCATAGAGTATGAAGGGATGGATACGGAAGAGTAGAAAATACCGTTAACGAACCGATAGATAAAGACAAGTTTTAATTTAGTACGCTTGATCCGGAGAGATTCTAATTTGAATTGTTGACATCCTTGGTGATAGTTCTTGTTGTCGGAACACCCTAAAACAGCTTTAGAGAACCTTCTTTGAACACCTTCAATTTAATCAGTTCATTATGTTTGCAATTACTGTAAACTAAAATGTCATACTCAAGAATGGGTAAGATACATTTTCTGTATAATAATAATCTGACTCAATATTATTGAACTTTCTAGCTTTGGATACATGAGATGCAATGTGCTCCGAAAAGTTCAAACTGTTGCTATACCTTAAACCCGAGTCACGATCAGTGTCGAGAGGTTTCAGTGTATGTTCGTGTATAGCCGGATTTAGGTTAAGGTAACGGCCAATGCGACTAAATCCACTTTTGTCACCATTAAGTGACAAATTCCACCAAACAGTCCATTCATACAACTTGCTTATTTCCTCTTGAATTACCGCTGAAATATAGCTTTCTTTCGTGGGAGGAGAGAATGAATCAACCACTTTTAGGTCGTAGGCAAAAAGGAAAGGTTTAACATACTGAAAGAGGGAACACATTTCATTGGTCAAAAGTAAAAAGAGTAGTGAACCAATCACACTTCCTTGTATAACCCTACTAGTTACATTCACAGGTTTAGAGTAGCAAGATCCAAAGCGAACGATTTGGCTACGTTCTAAAAAAGATTTGAGCCAAGATAAAAGGGGATTCTGTATGCCAAATGAAGAGAGTTTTAAAAGAAGAAGTTTGTGTGAGACACTGTCGAAAGCCTTACTAAAATCGAAGTAAAGAATTACCACTGACTGACCAACATCTCTTCTCTGGGTAATTTGGTCAAAAAGCCCCATGTGCGATGTGTAGCCCAAGATACACATGAGACGAAAGAGACGAGAACTGGAAAGGCAAGTAAGACTTATGTTGTGAGAACTTTGATGAGATGAACGCTGTTTGAGCTCTATAGCGGACCTCGTGTGAGCAACTTTGTACTTGGTCCTGCCACACTGTACTTAAATGATGCTTGTTGTCAGAAACTAGACTGGGATGCAGAGTTATCCGTGGATCATTTACACTCAGAGAGACGTTTAACATAAAAATTTGAACCATTATTTGCTCAGATTCATTGTTTATCTGGTGCTTCCTAGTTTGCTTATGGTATTGTAACATATACTCAATGCGAAAGTGTTTCTTGCTAAATTTGCTGCGCAATTCCGCTGGCCAAGTCTAGAATCGTTCCCCTGAAACTTGTACCTCTACCTATTATTGAACCGACGGTCTGCATGCTATGTGTTCAGACTGAAAAGCATGTGGAAGAACTGTTAAATATGTGCATTCTTTCGGTTATTTACTAGATGGATTCGTTAATCACACCTTCTCGAATGAAATATACAACTGAAAAGTTTGAACGGTTTTTGAGTAATAGCTTAGCGACCACACATGTGTTGTCCACACCAAAACTAGTAGAGATACGTGAAGAGTAAACTGGACCTGGCAGATTAAATATCGCGTAGACTACTAATAAATGATAGGACTAACATAAGGGGCATTACAGTGGCCGAGATTCCCATAGGAAGAGGATGATAAATGGCCCAGCCCTAAAAGCAATGAGAACACAGTAACCCGCGTATCAACAGAAGAGTTCGACCAACAAATTTCTAGGTCTATTTCATGCACGTAACTCGTAGTTCAGATCATTGAAAGTGTTTTATAGTGAATATGTCCTGTAGATAATGCGTTAGATGACCGGAATGGGAAAAGCTGAAGCCTAGGTATACTGAGTATTGAGGATATCAATAAATCAAGGAAAAACGTGATAACTCCAGTTCACACTGCCTCACTCCCTGGCGAAAAGAGAATATTAAATAATCCATCATTCATACCACGGGGACAATTTTTCTAGACAGCAAGGAGGTTCAGAAGAGAAACATGAGACGGTCAGAGGAAAACTTCGATTCGTTAAAGTTCGATTAAGTATCTCGACACGAAAAGGTAGGCACCTAGAATTATCGTGTCTACTCCTCGAAACCAAATATATGATTATATTTCCCAATAAAAATTTTACTATGAATATGGTCATGAAGCACTATCATTTGCTTCACGTGAGTGTCATAGTCACACAAACATTAATTAATTTGCGTAGAAAAACTTAGTGTTAAAAGCCTCTTTAACTCCAAAAGAGTTTTGAAGTGATGCTATCTATGTAACGGATCTTATTATATGCCATGCTCCCAAATAACGACGTCGTTACCAGAATGCCGGGGTAGGGGATCGCTCATCAACTTTCTAAATGACAGTGTCGGGAGTGATCAGTAAACGAGCCCAACAATGGCGGCACCACCCTGACTCCTTTTGACTTTATATAACTGTCTATTCACCAGTCACAATCTTACATGGTTGTCGTAATCGATATTAAGATTTGTTGACTCATTTCCTTATCCTTCAGTTACTTGCCGGTATATTATTGATGTCACTCCTTATCCCTGTCTAACAAACTGTATTAGTTGTTTTTCGTATATCGATAGTGTTGACTCACGTCTTAGAAACACATGAAGTTTATCAAGCCAAATATCTTGCTTGTTCTGGCTTTGGCTAAGGTAAGACTTTGTTCAACAGTCTGTAGATTAGTTTTAATTTGTGTCTTTGGGCAACTGCATCCCTTAAGTAATGACCTTTTATTATTAAGCAGCTAGCCAGGCATACGATATTCCATGCTTTCAATGTCTCAGCCATGATTTCATAACGAACGCAAGATTGAATAAACTATGCTGACACCAAGAATAGGTGTCCGTATTTAAAACAACCCAGAGAATAGGAAGTTGAAGCAGGATAAGCGAACATTGTTAGACCTGTCTCGAAATAGCTGTACCTTTTATGTTACATGTACATAGTAGCAAGCACTATGAAATAAGCGAAAAATATCTTAGCTGTGAATTTATTTTTTAAGAGCATCACTTATGTGTCATCATTTGAAACTATTATGTGAGGCATCTCTCGGTATATCGCATTGCCGAAATTATATTCAATAGGTAAATGACCGCTCTACTGGGATGCAAAATATATTTCGAAAACACGTTTTAACCACAGAATATCTAACCAGATAGTTCATCAAAACTAATCGCGTTCTTCGACATACATCATTATATATTACTTGACTAAAGTAAATAGAATTAAAGGTACAAATCAATTCTAAAAATAGAATAAGATTGGTGCTTTTAGCAAGCAAATATTCTGTATGACCATGTATTCTTGTTTCGGTATTCAGTTGTGCGGACTTAAAATCTCTCTAACAAACGCTATATTCTACCATCCAACAAATGTATTTCCATCTAAGATGTGTATATATGTTCGTTCTACTCGAATGACTAGCGATCAAAGTTTTTGTTAGCGATAAATGTTTACGATAAACTGGAGATATTATTTCTGTCTTTCAGGTGTAGTCAAATCTACCAGTCAAATAGTATCAATCAAGAATACAACGCTTAACATGAAAACCACTCATATCCGGTAATCAATTAAAACAAAATTAGGCCAATCGGAAAGGGTCTAAAAAGTGACAAGGAGAGGACTAAAAACTCAAATATCGAGTGAAGTGAGTGTCGCTAATTTCACCCAATATAATGAATATATAAGGAAAAATGCAATGATAATATGATAATAAATAAGGCTTCACCCCCACACAAAAGTTATACATTGTGGGATTTTTACAGGCTTTCATAAAACGACATGCATTAAAGTTCTTTCAGTTATTCTAGAACTTGATGAGTTAGAGCCCTCTAAAAGGTCACTTACTAAAAAAGACTAGCTCTTCAGAGAGAAAATAGTTATTAATAGGTTCTTCAGTAAGAGGAAACATTACACGTAAAGAATTTAACTTACTATTATTCAGTTGTAAATATGATTCTTTTTACCAGTTCTGTCCAGACTTTGAACTGTATGTTCATAATTTTTGACTTGTTCTTCTGGTTTCAGTCATGCTTTTTGACCTTTTTCATTTTCGCCTTGAAAACCTGAAAATTAGATAATTGTTGCAACTATTACTTAGAACTGCAAATTGATAACTCGCAAATAAAGAGTGAAATACGACCATGTAGAGTTGCACTATTCGCTTACTTGTTGTTTGGGTAAACGTCGCGAGTTTATCAGTCAACTTTCATTTGAGAAAGAACCAAAATAAAAATTTTGAATTTAATATTAATTGCAAAATCTGGGCTTAATGTAACAGTAGAAAAAACGCTTGGAAGCGGCTATCATTTTTGGTCCAGCCAATGCAATACGAGTATACCTGAATCTGTAAATCCCAATTATATTAAGAAACTGGTTAACTGGCGCATCAATTTACTTCATCAACGTTGAATTCATGTAACTCCTCTAATAAAAGTTTACTGGTTGTCGCTAAGTTATTGTACTTTACCATTGGCGCATGATTTACAAACCACGAGTTCACTTAACAGGATCAAGAAAATACAGTAATGGTGAATAAATCCTTAAAACAAAGAACTCTTAGAGTTCAAAACTGATGGTGACATCATTGGTTTTTCGTGATAACCCTCAGCCGAAGACTCCCGACCAAACATTCGTACTATAATGCATTTGTGTACTCAATGACCAGATAAAATAAGGTAACTAGTCATTCAGTTTGAATACGAATTCATATCACCACATTCCCGACTTCTGGTTTTATTAAATTTGAGATGATAGTACATAAAGAGAGTTCTCACAATACTGTTATCAGACTCTTTATATCCGTAATCTCATCATCCTTTGATAAATCATATGTTACTGTAAAAATGTTGAAAAACGAAGTCAAATGCTGTTTTAGATCTCAGAAATAAATACAAATTATTATTTGTGAGAACTACATGTTTAACTAGCTGAGTAATCTACTTCCACAGTAAAATGACTGGAGAAATGCTGTCCATAGGTCAGCTAGTTCAAGAAGAGCATGAATTTACACAAGAACAAATTAAGATGGATCTAACACGCATTCGTGACCTTCCAGCCTAAAAATATCGAAAAATTCCTTAGCTGAAGTGAAAAAAACAATATATGAATTCATCCATTAGAAAAATTAAAAAATAAAAATTACTCGTCATCAAGATAGATTCAATTTAGTGATCAAACAGATCGCATTGGAAGCACTCGGAAGTATGTAATCGCTATCTCATATAAATAAGTAAGATCCTAATAATCCAAGGGGTGAAAGTAATTTCAAGTATTTTGAATATTGAGCTTTGGCCTTCACTTCTCTGGCCAACTATTCAAATGGACTGTATTTAGAGGACTTCATCGTTTGAAGTAAATTAATGTCAGTTACTGTCAGTATTAAAAATAGATGGATCATAAATTCTCGTTGAACTTTTCGTTCATTTCGAACTTCATATTAGTTTGAGTTGTTGACGATATCTTCGACATTAGCTACTTATTTTCCAATACCATACGTGCACATACAAATTCGATATCAGTTGGGCGTTTTTGATACAAGAGTCTTATTTTCACATTTCTTCCTGATTCTTAAGCTCGAGGTAGATATATTAATTCTTCTGAATGCCAGATCTTCCTTTTTGTATAAACCACTGTTCCGGTTGTATTACATTGACGTGCGATGCTGTTGAATGCTTCGTTACTGACTGTCCAAACAGTTGTGGGATGCGTATGCATTCGTGCAAGGTTGATGACCACTTGGATCAAATATGCCCTAAGACCATAGTCCCATGTATTAACAAAGAAGTCGGTTGTCCACACATAATATGTCGTGAGGACAAGTCATTTCATTTACTCAATTGTCCTGCTAGTGTTGTAAGCTGTAATGCTCGATGCCCCTTGCTTTTCAGGTGAGCAGTGTGATTGAGTTAATCTACCACAGTCTTTATTCATAAATTTCATTGTACGATCTGACCCATTTTATTCCAAAATACTGTCACCTGATTTCTCGGCATGACTATAATTTATGGACGAACCGATCAGATTTGTGATTACATGTTTTATATTTCAGAGCGAAATTCATTCACCCATTTGGCTAAATGGTGTTTTGGCATTATAGCTTATGTCAGTTCGTGATGAAAACCCTAAATCTAATTCTTAAAATTAATCATCAACTGAAAATCATAATCCGAATTCCTCACACTGGTTTATAACCCCTATTTGGTCCTAGTTATTAGGTGGACACTCAATGTCAACTTAGTGTCGCTCAAAGCTCGTCCATAAATAATAGTCTCACCCATTTTTCGAGTCACTATTCACGCCTAACTTGGTGGTAGCTTACTGGTTGGGTTGTTAATTATCACATGGGCCACTTATGGGATGTCTGGTCGAGCTACCGTTTCGAGATAGATGTTTGAATGATATGTGGGAAAGTCAGTCCATCATTACACATCTTTAGTCTAATGCAATGTTTTCAGCCACATTCCTCCTGTTCTGAGAACTTTACTAGCTAGGCTTACGTGAGAAAAATCTTAACTAGGTGGAAATAGTTCCATCGTTAAATACCGTCACCTAGCTTTCCTTAGATCTTTTCCATTGAATATATCTTAGGAGAGTCGTGTACTTTGACTTTCCGTGAAGGCAACGAACCAACGGTTGAGGTTAGTCGGCAAGTTATTTACATCTTTTTCTACTGGTACGGAAACTTCCTAACATTCAGAAAGAGCTTGAAGTATATTTTCGGAAACTTCAAAAACTCGGTTTCATTATTTTCTGCCGATTAACATCAAGGTTTGAAACTGAGAGCTCAGAAAATATGACGGCGAATAATATACAGGCGAACAATATGGTTTACAATGATGTTTTCAAGCTTTATTCTAATTTACGGCAACGTCTATATCCACATGCAAAAAATAATAAATCAATCGAAGCCTTTTGTGAGTAAACCATAACAAAATAGTATGCGTAACTGAACGTAATTAGTAAAAAGTACAAATTGATACTAATATGGCAAATGTTTTAGCGGTGATAAGAATAATATAAGCTTGAGTCACTGTTCGAATATATCAAGTGTTTCAAAGCTTGGATGGGTAGACATTTAAATAACGGTCATTAAATATGATTATATATGGAAGGATATTTACAGAAAAATGTGATGTAAAACAAATTAACAAATGGTATGAAGAGTGATAATATGAAATCGTTAGTTGAGCGTTTCCCGTCTAAGGAAGGGGCAGAAGAATGACAAATCTCTTCTGAACTCATGGACAGGTTGCTGTTCCGAACCCCTATGGCTCCTGGTGTACGCAAGAGACGAGATCAAACACGTTAGGGGGTGACAATATTTACCACTCACATGGCCACTATCGACCAAGCGTAATGAAGCTACATATTACCTGTATCCGACTATCTGCAAATCACCCAGGGAGATGTTCGCTCATTCTTTGCTTGATGGAAAACCCAGTAGAGCTATCTCTTCAGGAGCAGCGGAGTTTTGTAGATATAGATTCAGGCGGAAGAATTAAGTGACATCCTCTGTTTGGACAAACATTATTGATCGACTGAAAAATAAAAAAGACTAGTCATGTAGAAAGTCTTATTATAACTCGCAATACTCTATCATGTAGAACATCGTTAGCTACATCCCTTTGGATCACAGTTTAACACAAGAGGTTTATTATAAACGGTCCATACATTGAACTTCCTGTTTCCTTAGCAAACGTGCTTCTTTAAAATCTTAGTGGTTAGCCTGCTCCAGTCAGAATTTTATTAATAAAATCTAGGTCCTTTTTGTATCGTCTGAGTAGATCATTTTCCTCTGTTTGAAAGATATAAGTATATTTCTTAACCTGTTTTTAAACCCCGGACGCTCCGTTGTTTAGCACAGACCGTAATAAAATTTTTAGATTAGTCGGTTATCATGATTTTGTACATGTCGTATTGTCAGATAAATCCTGATCAGGTGGTAACCGGTTAATCATGCTACTTTAAATTTAAGACTCAAACAGTGACCTAGTGATTAAGGCTATCGAGTTCCAGCTACTGAATCCTAGGTTCGAACTCTTCTCCACCTACTTGGGTTTGGAATACCGGATTGTTTTATTACTAGATCTCATACTTAATATGTGGCTCACTCCCAAGTACCTGATGAATGAGTTCATCTAATTGGTTGAAGTTGAAAACATTTAGCATTGTCTACGGGAATAGTTAGTAATTAAAGTTAATAATTCAATTATGATAATTATAATACTCAAATAAATGATTTGAATCATTTGAAACATCCTATTTTTATTTGAACTACAAAATAATCGGTGGTATGTTACACCAGGCATGCACCACACAAAATTAGAATATTTTTGTGGAGAAAATTCTTAATAAAAGCTGGACATTGTAAAAGGCGTAGTCCTAAAACGAACACTTAAAATTTGTTTTGTTTGAAGGTCCCTCATACTGTTGATAACCAGTGTAATAGAAACCTACCTCGTAATTTACCGTGGTTTTTACTCCAAGCTATTTTCTCTAACGTTTCAAATTACTAAGTCGCATTATCTTAAGGAAATCATATAAGAACTGTGACATAATCGAATGACAATAGCACATCTGTTTTTCATTTCCCTGCGCCTTATCATAAACTAACGAACTTCATGCGCTTCACTCCAGTCTCAACGTAGGAAGTATGAAATTTGCTGGCACGACATGTAAAATCTAACCAATTTTTAAACCCAATGTTTCTAGATTGTAACATATCGAGTTACTGTCTCTATAATGATTAGACAGGTTTAAGGATATCAGCGTCCACTACATGGTGCTGTCATTAGATATGAAATATCCTTCGTATACAATGATTAAACACTGATGGTCATCTAAAGACATCACATAAAAAAGAGTTGTACAAACTGAAAAGAAAACGTTCAGATCGCTACGTTTTACCATCTGACAATTTATGATCTGACTGAAGCTGATTGTGGTCCACATTGACATGAGCCATTTCGGATATATCTGTAAATAGACAAATTTCATCTCAGTTATAGGCAACATCTGATCTGGCACAAATATACCAGTCCATAATGCACAGTTAGTGAGGAAATTAACAAAATAAAGTCAGATGAGTTATAGTAATATTAAAAATAATACGAACTAAATGTAAGGAAGTTAGTTCGAAGGGGACGAATGTGATATAGTACGGAATGACAAGATTCAACACTTATAATGATATAAAGAATAAACGGAAATGCGCCATTACAACTTTGTGCTCTCACTTACGCACACCACTTCAATAGTCAACCGTGTTGGTGCATATCATATTTTCGTTTGGCCAGTTTTAGCTCCCTCTCTACTTACTCTTACGCTAACGTGTGTCTGGCTATTAAGTTCAGTGTTAGCTAACTCTAATGAAGTTAGCTTATGGTATTTTGTCACACAGTAACCGAGCTATAAACTCACCAGTTGTCTATACAGTACGTAATAATAATTAGTCAGTAACAACATGAATCTTCGTACGTACGTACATCAGTTCGAGTTGCCATACCACATTAGCACAGATACAATTGTCGATTCAAATCCCATAGTGGTAGAGGTAGTAAAAGTATAAGCAGTAATCGGAAAGATTAGGGTTTGACGATGTTATTCAAGGAGTATAATCCAGTGAAATAAATTTGTAAAGAGAAAAAAAGGGGATATGAAGAATTCATAAGATTAGAATTTGGTAGAACACAAAGAGTAGTAATAATAAGCATAATTAATTAACAGGGACATGAATCCATTATCTTGTTCTGCATGTTTCCCATTTATACCATTTAATATTATACTGTAATAGTGACTATACACATGAATATATCAGAAGTTGTCTCCAGTTAATGTTACCTTCAACATTTCTCTGTATTATTATTCCGTGCATTCTGTGCTTAATTTATGATTTGAACAATTTTGATAATTATATCTACTACTATGAATCTGGTGTTCATCTTGTGCTTATGAGGTCTGGCAACTTGGACCGATGCACGTAAGTGCCTTGTTCTACGTTATAGCTGATTGACTGACTGATAATTATGTCAGTCTGTCATAACCAATGTGCAACCTAGTACAAATATGCATCAGCCCAAGCTGGCATACTACACCATAGCGAAATGAAATTAACAAGGTATATGATAAAAAACCCGGAATAATGAAGTTCAGATCGTAGTACTATATGATAAACGCTATAAAGAAATTTTATTCAAATCACAAATCGATCTTAAATAAACATCAGTTCGTGGTTCCAATAAAATTCAACAATCTCCATAATTTGATACTGGTAACTAAAAATGGTTTCTAATATGACTGTTTGGTGTGTTTGTTTTAAAATAAGCCTAATGCTATCCATCTACAGATGGCTTTCTACTATATTTCAGCTACAATATTTTTCAAGTCTAGTATACTACTATCTAGTTTTCAAAATCCTCACAGACCTGTAAATTCAATTTATTCGTAGAAACGTTTAAGAACATTTATAGACATTCGAAATTAAACGTGATAGCAACTTTTTGAAATGTAGTCTATGCATTTTTTAGAAAAAAGGTTCATTCATACTTATGTGCACGTGACTAGAGTTATTTTGTATCGCTTTTTTCTTAGATTTTTTGTGGTTGTATTTTTTTTTCAATTTGATATTTCAACTTAGGCAAACACAGAAAAAATCTACTTCTCCAGTAACCTGTACTGTGAATCCGATTATTCATTATGCTTCTTGTAATTCATATGTTTACCGACCAATTAATTCACCTCTGTTGGGGGTCGATTTTGGCAAGTTATTTTAATTACATTTTTCTACTCATAATTTCTCTATTGATTTTCCACTACTGTTTATCACTAGTTAACTAACTTTGTTGATTTCACTTTGATTATTGCTACTTCACATAGCATTCGGAATATTATATCACGTTCTCATATACTGTGTGGCGCATATATATTGGCGCTCTCTTGTACCAATATTTATGTGTTCAAATAAATAAAAATAAATCTCATATACTACTGATTCATTAATACACTCTCTAACAAGGATAATTTCGTATTTAAATAAATTCTATAATATACTCCACAACTAGTTGAATTATAGGTCGTAAATTAAGGCTTTAATGTCTGTATACTAGTTATTTTTCCGTTAATAAGAATATTTCTGTAAGGATCCTTCCAACATCAGCACGTACAACTAATTTCCTAGTAGTTTCTCTCCTCTGAAACTTTCATGGACTGATCATCAAACATTTCTGCATTCACTCTTCATTTGGTCTACAAAATTGTGACATTATCTGTGAACAAATAAATATTTCTTCACCTACAAAACCTGTTAAATATAAACTTCGTTTTTCTTACCCATTTAAAATTGTAACCTCGCTATACATCAGTGATACCTATTATTGACATCAATAGTTGAAACTTCAGCACAAGATTAAGCGATCTGTGTAATTATCAACACTTTTCTTAGACTTCCTATGGGCGAGAACAGTTCTTGGTATGGTGTCGTCAGATAGTCTTAATCACTGCTCAGATATATGTCTTGAAATCTTTTAAGAGTTTATATTCATTTGCTTCTATCCCATCTCAACTATTACGCATATTCGTTTAAATCATAATTTATTTGTCAGTTTATTATATTATTTTATGCTCCACGTCAATATTATCGCTATATTGTTTTATTCTGTAGGAACCTAAATGAATGCTGTTTTATACCAATTACTGTTCTGTTTATATCATTTAGATTTTTTCTAAACTGTTCGTATATACACTTCATTTTCGTGTGTACATTCTTTATTATATTTGATGTACAGATACCAATCAGCAGACTTTTACTAATCAGACTGATGGACATATAACCAATGTATTAAAATTGATCAATGAGGAACAAGTCGATAAAACACTAAGCAGCGGTTTTGTAGAATCACCATTATCATCCTACATGTGCGACCATGTAAGTGCATTGATTGTTGTCGATAATTGTTATGTTGAACATGTTGCAAAAAGTAATAGAGTTAATTGATTAGTACAATTTCACAACGATATTACTGGCGTAAATTATATTTTCCCGATAAAATATTTTTACTGTTTTATTTTATGCGACCAGAAAGAAATTGTGTTGTTTTCTTCAGTGAAATGAGACGCCTAGTAAACAATATGCACATGTATATGTACCACATGATCTTTCCAAAAAACATTCCAGTCACATACTATATACCTGAAAATAACTCTGGGATATTTAGAAAAGATAGCCAAAAGTCCGAAATAAATAAAAGACAACCAAAATACTGTTTGTATACAAACTGAATAATACATAGTAAAGGTGACGGAGTATACATCAGGTGAAAGCTATTTTGAGATAATGAGGATGTTACTAGTGTTTTGAATATCAAGTTTTATATTCCTACTGTTTAGCACATTTCATGTTGTTAAAGATAGTTAGTAAAGAACCTTGTACTTGATTTCCACACCGATTTGGAATTGCAAGTAATTTGTACCTACAATTTCGAGGGAACTAATATTCTCTATAGAATTCACACCTTACGAATAAGCTTATCACCTAACAATAGGATTTTTTTTATTTATACACAGTTTGTCATATATATATATATATATATATATATATATATATATATATTGCCATTACATTATTTGCTGACTTCTAAGTTAACAAAGCTATGTAGTATGCATCATACTTACTGTGTGTGTGTATATATATTGTACACTTAATATGAGGTTTATGCCATCTAATTATATTAATCCACATTTGTAGTATGTTTTCAGAAGTTTGCACCTTTGAATGCTACTACAGTTGTTTTGAAGAGAGTTGTATTGTTCTTGGGTTCGGTATAATTACTATTAAACATTTTGATTCCGGGTATTATTATATGCAGTCAGTTTTTAACTAGTCATCCAAGTTTGACAATAGCTTATGAAGTTATGGGCATTTTTCATAATAAAATACAGTACCATAAGACTGCTTTATCCACTTATCAAACACTTTACCTCTTGTTACAACTTCAAACAACCTCTGAAATTGGTTGAACAGTAGAATTTAGAACGCTGCAATGTAAACACTCGACCGTCAGTTACTGGGACATAAACTAGTACACATCTGGCTTAATTAACTTAAGCTTATAACATCAAATCTCTCAATTATTTACACGTTAATGAAGTTAAATTCGGACAATAAAAAAAACAGTAAAAGTCGAAATAATCTAGACTCTTTAATCGATTTGACCTTGTAAAGTACCACGCCAATGTTCCAACTATGTTAGCTGATATCCAAACGCTTATTAGCTCAACATATTTACTTTTCCTACGAGCACCAATTAGAAGACGAGAATAAAACAGCTGGTCTAATCTCTGTATCTGACTGGAAAATTTACACTATCAAGTACATTAGTTATTGGACTGCAACGCCTCATAAATACGAGGTTACAATATGTACCAAACATAAGCATTTTAGAAAGAAATTCGGAATAACGGGCATACAATTAATTTGAAGTGATGTGAGAACAGAAGAAGATATGACAACAATTAGTGAGTCATATGGAAGTTTGAAGTTAGAACATAAATACACATTAGAAAATTTGCACAGTGACATCCCCAGAAAATCATTCGAAGTTTGGCATTCTCTCTAGTCTATCTCGTCCCAACATGTGTATTAATCGAACGCTATTATTCCGAGATCACCGTGCGGTCGAAATTCTGAAACTCTTTCGTTAACGTATTTATTCAGTTTAAATTGTTTATATATATATATATATATATATATATATATATATATATATATATATATATATATATATATATATATCATCCATTTTTCTCTTGTGCATTTTGTTGATGGCACATGTTATCATATATATTCTAACAAATCAATTTCTATCCATTCATAGCCAGGATATATTTGTGGTTGTACAGTTCAAAGAACAAATTATGGATCACACTATCAGTTGCATAGTAATGTACAAGCGCAATTAGACGGATGGATTGAACTTCGTTGTCCATTGTCTTTTTTAGGTTGTAAATATGCTGTAGTTAATCTTCGTCCTAATAGTGAATATAATCATTTATTGTATAATCCAACTCTTGCTACATTTACAACGCGGTATGAATCAGAAACTAATCAACATAATATACTTACTCATCATTCAGAATTAATAAATAGTGAATGTTTTAATTTTGATCAGTTGCCTGCAGAACTTTTAATTTATTTATCTTTTTTCTTAGATGACATGTCTTTACTTTGTTTATCTAAAGTTTCTAACCGATTATCTACCGTATATAAAAATATTCTTTGTGCAAGGTTAATTGTCACACCACAATGGGATAAAGTTCATCACAGATCATCAGATTTATTCTCTTGGCGTATTACAGGATTTTTGTGGTCTTTTCCACATCGTGCTGAATCTATCAAAGGATGGAGATCTGCACATGGTGCATCAGCTAGGTCAAAGATTTCAGCTCATTTAACCAGTTGTCATTATAACGACAAAACCATACGTGTATTTCCATTCTGTTATTTGGAATGAATAATAACTTGGATAACAAAATAATAGGTTTATTAGCATGGCATCTTTAACTCTATCTACTTCCTTACTACCATAATAGATAGTACAATCGCTCATTTGTGAAATATCTAAAGTAATACTACACAATTATACATAACCAAACTAGATTCCTTCTAATCATTCGAATGTCTTATGCTGTCTTCTTTCTGAAATCGTACTAAAATAACCAACTATACTATTCAATATTAAGCTACTTTAGATAAATAAGTGATTCTCTTAAGTACTATCTACTTTCCAACACACACATAGCATGTCATTATTATGTGATGATGAGCAGTATAAAACTTTACGTTTTTTGAAAAATCATTGACTTATAGATGTTTTCATCGAAATATTTTTTTGTTTCACTTCTGTTTAAGTTGTATTACGTACAATAAAGTACCTGTATAAATCCTTATATGTATATACATATTTATTTGCACGTATAGAATGTAATATATCATTCATTATCCAAAGTTATTTACCTGGAAATTAAATTTATTTACTTTTTTAGAATACTTGATAGATATAATCTCATCGACACTAAACGTCAACATATACTGACCAGTCTGGTATTTGCTCCAGTCATAAGGTTACTTTGTCCTTCAATAATCCGGTGTTTATATCGTCAGTTGTACCTGAGTCATGTTTGAACTGACCAACATTCCTGCTATTACATATGCCCAACCACTGCCTACCACAAAGGGCGATTTTTTCTGGTGTAAGAGTAGACTGGAAGAATTCTAGGGGTGGTCAGACCAAAATGTGGCATCAGTCGATGAAGTCATTGACAGTTGGGCTGAGTTATATCAACAAGTGTAGACTTCCTGGTCGGGGTCTGCGTGGTTATCGTAACCTATGGTTAGAGACTGGATGACATGGCTCAAAATCGTTTGTGATGGTACAGGTGCGTCGGTTCGTTGTCTTCTTAAAATTCTAAATTCCTCATAGCTTTCTTTGTTTTTATTCCACTAATTTACATTTTCTCGAATCTCATTTTCAATGCCTAATCTTTCCCGTTACCACTAGCTAATAACTATCCTGGATTTTACTAACCCACTTTGTTGATTACTATTGATGTGTCGGGTGCTACCATTCACATAGCCTAACTGTATTTTAGTAGATATAATTATCGTAGGGAAAGTAAAGGGAGTGAGAATATAGAAATAAGAAATTTGGTTCAGTAATACTTGTTAGGTAAAATTAAGATTCACGCAGGTTAACTCATGTCAGCTTTCTCTTACCCTTGTAGTATTTATTTGTTGTACTTTTCAGTTTTTTAAACAAGGGAACTATAATACAGTAATTAGCCACTGATATTGTTTAGGTGTTGTATCCGGTAGCATGTATAGTCAACTGCATTAGACATGATTGATTTCGGGATGGATATTAAGATTGCCTGGGATTCAGCAACATAAGACTCGTCTAGTAAGTGGTGAATATATTGTAAGGTATTCTTTTGTAAGGCATGTTGCGTCTTTGCAAATTAAACGGACCAACTTTTTCACTAGCTTTTGATAAACCGTAAACAGACACAGTTGAGTGCATCACAGTGGACCGGTATGTTATCCTGATGGATGTTACAAACAGTAAGCTACGATATGTATAGATCATACAATTATCCCATATATTTTAGATTAGAGTAAGAACTAAGTTTTTTTTCATGTATATATTTGTCATACGTAACTGTGTTCGTGGTCATAACCTGATAACAATTAATTATTTTCCACATTGAGCGATAATATTTTTAGCCGAAATCATATATTCCCAACTGAAAGATAACATATTCCTATTTAAAAATTAAAAAACACGAAGTTCAGCGAAAGAATCTCTTTTCAACGAATTTATTATCAAGCTGTACAATCATATATGTATGAACATTTTTTGTCCAAGTACTAATTCCGTGAGGAAATGCCAACACAAATAACCAATATGACATAATACGAATAATAACAATAGATTTAGTGAATATAATAAGATGATTAAAAAGTTTTTGTTACAATAATTAAAGGTCATAGAGGTTTAAAAATAGAGTGATATAAGTATTTATGAATAAAACGATGAGAATATAAGACTTAAGTAAAGGGGAATTCAGTAATAATAGTAATGATAAAAATAATATTAATTAGGGCCAAGATAACGATAAGACGTACTTCTTTTGTACACGTAGTTCTAGTTTGAGCTCATGGATGGTAAGAGCTTCGACTATTTATTAGGAGATAGATACGAAAATATCTAGGTAGACTTGAACGAATTGTATAAACAACCTTAAAATCAAACTGTGAATCCGTAAAATGATTACAGTCGATTAGGTATCCAAGTATAGAACTAACTGCTTTCCCTTCACCCTTGTAGAATCAAACTGGAACATGGTCTGGTATTCGAGCTGAAAGCGAGCGCTGGCTACGGCCAATGTAACTTGCTCCACAAGAGCAGGTGGACTAGTAGATGCACATGGAGGCAACCAAACGCGGAAGCTTATCTTTTATGGATAGAGAAAATAAGTCCCTATTGGTGAAGGTTATTCGCAATTTCGCCGCATTAAATGTTCTTTTAATCGCTGTCGTTAGGCGATTATTGATTACGTCAGATGTTCAATCCCCCTTAAATTCCAGATCAAAAAAGGGTTTTCCTTTGGGACGGAACAACTAGATTTCCTGTCGCAACTACTTTGGCCTTAATATTATTTTATCATTACTATTATTACTGTATTCCCCTTTACTTAAGTCTTATATTCTCATTGTTTTATCCACAAGTACTCATCATATCACCTTATTTATTTTTAAACCTCTATGACCTTTAATTATTGTAACGAAAACATTTTAATCATCTTATTATATTCACTAGATCTATTGTTATTATTCGTATTACGTAATCTAGTATTACAATCTTCCTATTAAGTCATATTGGTTATTCGTGTTCGCATTTCCTCACGGAATTAGTACTTTGACAAAAAAATTTCATATATATATATACGATTGTACAGCTAGATATCTTGGGGAATTTGCATTTATTCTACCTTTTATTGATTTACGTTACTCTTGGTGTATTAAGAGACTTGTTAAATTGTGACAAAGGGATCTTTTTTCTGTTATTTTCATCTTGTCATGCTAATCTGATATGGCAACTTAGGTCAGCGCACATATGTTCGAGAACCTACACTAGTGGTGTCTGATAGAAATTGACCAAGTGATGCATGCGAATGTTATGATGAGTTTCTTTCGAACTATAAAGTACACATTAATTTCGTAAATGTCTGATTTTAGATTATTATCAACTTTGTTTAATATTTTCATAATAATGTTTACTATGAAATACATACGTAAATAATTTCCACATACACCTATCACGGATTCACATCAACTTGGAAACCATAAAAACCTAGGAAAAACATTTTCTGACCCAATATGTCGCTACTTCCCATAAAATATTTATGAGACTTGTTGTTCTGTTCTAAATTTCTGTACTTGTTTTTTCATAGTCAGTGTAAATAAACATACGATTTATGTCAGTATAATAGAGGTACAGACAGTTCGTATTTTTGTTGTCTTCAATTGTTTAATCATGTGCTTAAGCTTATTATTATTTCGTGTCGTACAAACGTACACTGGCATATTTTGGCAATGTAAATATTATAAAATCTATTCAAATAACTGATCTAAGACTTACATTCATGTCAACTGACGTGACCATTGGGTTGTTTGGTAAAAAATATTTTTCTTTGTAAACAGTTACATAAATGATGTGCTTTAGATAAAGACGTGTAATATTTGAGTTGATTGTAGGCAATTGAGTTTACTTTAACAAACCTTAACATAATTTTCCTATTTAGAAACCACATGACTCAGTCAGTGTGAGATAATGACAGAAATATGTGGATTTAACAACAAAAATAAAACAATTATATCTTATTAAAATTATTTTAAGTATTTTCTTTTAGTTAGACTATCAATCAAGTTTCGAATAAACTTTAACTCCAACGATCTCATCACCGATTATTCAACAACTCGTAACTAATCTGAGCCGTAATAAAAGTACGACGTATATTTTGAGGTATAAAGCGCATATTTATTAGGTTACTTGGGTCGTGACAAAGTTTAATAATAGTGTTCGACGGACCTAACTAAATCGACTAGAAGGACAAACTTTATGGGACGTTTTATTTTCGAGGGATGACACACGATTTCTCTAAACCTATAGGTCAGCTAGTTATAATTAAGACGGAGCCTAGGACGAATGTTTTCACTTCCACATTGGTACAGTAAGATGAGATTATTAGAATGACTACTAAGGTAGTAGTTTTAGTACTAAATATTGTAAACAAAGTTATGCGCCAACAGCTACACAAAATGATTCAAGGCAGCACACGGAACGAATGGAGGTTCGGAGAACTTTACTTTTTCCTAGTCATATATGTGACCGGTTTATTTTATTGGATAATTTCATAATCAGCCAACAACACGGTTGAGATTTTTTCCGCCATGTAAGGAAGAAAATACAAGACGTCTCCAGGATTATGAAATAAAACAAACTATATAGAAACATCTATCAGCGCATTTCGAACACAAACTGCTCAAAATCTACAATACTTCAAACTCTCTTGGGGAGCGACAAAATGACTAAATACAACAATACGTGTTTATTTACATCATAATATTAGTTACAAATGCGTTCAAGACTACACTACGTGTTACTAATTCAACGATTCTCACGGTAACCAATTACTGTCCATTGAATGGAGCCCACTGAATGCAATTTGTTTTAAATGTATCCACTAACCACCTGTGGTATTTGTACTAACTGATTATTGTTTTGTACTTGATTGACCGCTTACTACGAGTTACAAATGCAATGCGTTCATTCGTGCTCATCTAGTTCTACCTGCCTTAACTTGCACCATTTCGGGAATTTCTAGTTACCATCTCGAAGGAGTACTTCAGAGTTAGACAATGTCCCCTAGTAACATATTCTGTGATTTCATCTGAGGTCAACCCCCGAGAAATTTGGCTCTGATGCAAACACAATCCCAATCCTCTCCGCTGGGTGTAAACAGTACCATCCAAGCATACGATGACAATGATTAGTGCAATAGCTACCAGCAGAATGTATGAGTTTTGACACCTCCCACTCGGATTTGTAGCTAATCATGTTCATCTATCATACATATGTGAACTTCAGATATTTAGCACGTTTAGAGGGTTGAACAACTGGCCGATTCGCGACAATCTCATACACCAGCATTAGTGAATACAACTATTTTGTATGTCGAGTCAGTCTACTGTACTTTCAAAATACGGAGAAAATCGAGGTTTGTTTCAGTTTGGGAAGGACAGGAGGCTCGATGCCCTATGTTAGTCCTGGCAATGGTGGTCTCTCAGTTGATCCAACTTTCTTTTGAAAGAGTCGACGGATGGAGCCTCAACCACGTGCTGAGGTAGTGAATCCCAGTCGTTGATGATTCGATGGGAAAGTCGATAGTCAGCTGACAAGTAATTTGTTCTCGGCTTATGAACTTTTTTGGTGTCCTCGTAAATTCTCTGTTTTGGAAGACAAGAAAAATGAGGGCATGAACATGATAAAAAGCGCTAAGGAACTACGGGCTTTGTAGGACGATGGGATGTCCAATAAAGTTTATTTCATTCTGCCACGAATTTAAAACGACTGACACTTGTCAATAATATAAAAGTACCGTTCTCCCCATATCACTCAAGTAAATGCAAACGATTTTATGATTGCGGCTAACCGAACTAGCACACTCTTTCTTATGATCATCAGACGTTCTTGATATTCCTGGTAGTAGCTTCTAGCAACAACTTTATTTGGAATTAATCAATAGTATTTAGTTGCGCAGTCGAGTCTCGCACTAATAACTCAACCTTCTAGGGTACTGAATGTACAAATACACCCTGACATAATATTAAAGCTAAACACTGACCTGTACGAACGCTTAAAGTTTTTAGCCTTCTGTGGAGTTTGTTTGCTTTTTGTCGTTGCTACACGGATGTCTTTCAGAGTTACCACTAGTAGATATTGTTTGAGTTGAGTAGCGAATTTCGAAGGAAAATCGGATGACATTGGGCTGACTATCCGCAAATAAATTCCCAGAAAGAACATTACTGCACTTCAGATCCATTGTTCTAACAAGGAATACTTCAACCACGAGCTCTAATGTGGGCATAGCAATCGTGTTGATATTAGGTTCGAGACATGCTTCACATTTTTACCAGCTTGCTCTACAACTTGCAAATTTATCGTCCACACAGAAATGTAGCTGTTCGAATTACATCACAACAGATTATACGAGTTTGTTGTAGATGGTATCGAAATCCCGCCGTCCTCAAGTTTTAAGACATTTCCACAGAGGTCATTCAGGTGAAAATCGTATGAAGTCAATCGCTAGTTTTGCCTACTGGTTGTTTATAAACCATAACGTTTTGAACTTACGAACGATCACGGCGTGTTAACAAACACCAAAACTCAATAATGAAGAGGACCCAGTCCTATGGTCGATTTGACACAGATTCAGGAGACCTAATCAATGGCATCACATGTTCGGTTCTCATTGGTGCATTATTTTTATGCTCCTAATAACAACAAGACTATATATTGACGGAGACTCCTTCCCGGGACATGATATTGGACACAATAGCCTCAGATAACGGATCACAACTTGCCTGAAGTCATTTCCAAGAATTCTACCACTGACAATCCACCACACATTCCCTCAACGCCATACCACTCCTAGTTACATGGACAGGCAAAAACGTCTTGGGGCACCTTCAAGAGTGTTAATTTATTTAGTTTAACACATAGATATTGGTACAAGGAGGCACCACATACATATGCGCCACACAAATCTCATTTGATATATGTGAGGGCTGTGATACTGCCCGTGTACCCAAACCGAAGCAGGAATTACAATGAGCATAGGAATGTCCATGATATTAATGGCTTACGGTATCCGCGAGTCATACCAGTGAAACAAAGTTACGACATTATTTAAAAGTGCTAAATGTAAAACTTGTTTGCTATTGCTTGGGAAAGCTAGGTTGTCACTACATACCATTGTCGGCCCGTCTGATCAAGAACCAGATATTAGTAACACAAAACATTCTAATACACGATGGGAATGAAGACCCACCACAACATAAAATTAGTGATACAGATAGGATGATGCTTAAGGTATTTTTGTCGCCTTCGCTCTGTTAAACATACAATATTTGATCATATCATTTGTTTGTTTTCCTTTCTATCTGCTTATTAAACAGTAGTAACGCAACTGAACAAAGTACACCAGTTTTATTGCCGTTTTTATATTTCAAGTAAATCCTGAGAGTTTATCATTCCTTGAATTAAAATCTACCTAGTTAAATGACAACCCAATATTTTTTGATAACTAGTTTCGAGGTACATTTTCAAATTTTCTAATGAAAACTTAACACTTACTGAGCTAAACAGGCCGAAATTGTCAAAGCAGTTCAACAAAAGCATTAATCCGAGGATTATAGCATATTGCATATTGACGAAAGCCAAGAAGGTACAGTGCCGGATTCTCGAGTAGTGGCTTGAAAGTATGGTGGTTACGAAGAAAGCTGATAGTCCAAGACTCCATTTTATATGGGATCATGGGGGAGCTACGATGCTTCAAGGTAGGATACAACAGCTATCTAGGTGTGTTTTCTCTTAATTGTTGGAGGGAATCGTCCCCAAGTTTCCCTCCATTTGATCCAAAAACTACACACAGTACGCATGGAGATTAGGTCCACACAACAACTACTTTTCGAAACAAATTTAGCTTTCAGCGTGAAAACAGTGACAAAATAAATTTTTCCATCGAAATTTTGTAGTAATCAAAAAACCAGATTCCCGGGTGTTTTTTTCCGTTACAAATACAAAAAATAAAGATGACACTAGCAGACTTATGACGGTTTTCTAGACTGAATGCAGATTATACTCTTTTTGAGCAGAAAAAGTAGCGAAAATTCTAGAGTTTTATCATTCACATAACTTTGTGTCTTCTGTTGTATTAAGCCTTTAGTGCTGCTTTTGTGTGTTCTTGTTGAAGTTTTTGTTGTAATTTGCTTATCTGTTCCCGGCAATTCTCCTGCTGTTTTTCCAGTTCTTTTATCCTGTCATCGTGACGTTTTCTAAAATGCCGGATGAATATGACAACTGAGTTCTTACATTTCAGATGTTATGTAGCTTATCCTTTTACTGACTGTTTCTTTAGCTTCAGATAAGTCCTGTTTGACTAAAACTGGACCAACAAGTTTGTATATAGCATTGGATTCATTTAATAATCCAAAGTCTTCAATAACATTTTCATTTTCAGAAAGTTGGGCAGATAACTGACGATGGAGCTGGAAAATCTTCTGTATTTCTTTTTGGATACCTTGTGCTTTTTCTATTTCTGCATTCAATCGCTTATAAACAGGCTCCATCGCCTAATTTGTGTAACGAAGTATTTACTTGATATCTAGAGAGCTGTATGGATCAGTTGAAGGCTAGGGTTATACAAAAAAGACATTGGTAACCGGCAATTTGTAATTTGGATATACAGAACATCTTATTTCAAGAAAAACAGCACTTACGATAAACATAACAAAAATAGGACTCAGGAAATAATCAACAGTTAGCATTTGAAATTTAATTTTTTTATGGGTCAACTTGTACCGGCCTTATTGTTCACAAATTAATTTACATAGTGCCAGATATTTGATTTCCCATCTATATAACTGTAACAATCACTTAATTTCGTATTCATATATCAAGACAGACATGCCTTGTGTACCAAAATGCTTAGACTTGATATATTACATAAAACTGCAAGAAGTTGGTTTAAAGGTCAAACACTCGCAACAGAACTTGGAAATCCTGGGTTCAAATCCACATTTAGAATCACGAGTGCGCACAGTTGAGAAACCGCATAATGTGACGAGATTACAGTTTAGTGTTTTCTGGCTTTCAACGATTGTATAAGACCAGTTCATGATGCAAACTATAAAACAGGATTTTTAAATAAAGAGAGAAACGATGACGAATATCTTCGATATTGTTGTTTAAACACAAGTTAAGTAACGTGCCTACAATAAATCTGGACCGAGAAGCCTGATGGTCGGAGCAGGTCATTGAGTCTGTTGCCTGAAGAAAGACTTCTCAACCTTGAGTATGCGGATGACATTGTCTCACTGTGCGGTAATACCCAAGCTATGCGATGCGCACTCAATCAGTTGGCAATTAGTGTCCGTAGATATGGTATGTGCCTTCGGCTTCGAAGTGCAAGGTACTTCTACAAAACTCGCAGGACCCTGATCCTGCACTCACCATGGGTAGTGAGCAGATAGAAGTAGTCGAGAAGTTCGTATATCTGGGTAGCTGTATAAGTGCTGGTGGTGGCGTGAATGATCAGATCGATTTGCGTATAGTGAAAGCCAGAGTGACTTATGCCAATCGGGGCCATCTTTGACACCGTTATGTTAGTCTGGCTGTCAAAGATCGGACTCACAATGCATCGGTGAGAGTAGTTTGGTGCTATGCTTGTGAGACCTGTCCTCTTCGAGTTGAGGATGTTAGACGACTTTCTGTGTTTGATCATCGTTGTCTCCGAAGGATTGCTGACATCCAGTGAAATACCATATTAGTAATGTAGAAGTTCGGCATCGTGTGTTCGGGCACAGCGACATGAAAGAAAGCTGTACATGACTGGCTTCTGTTGGTCCTTTACGACTCCGTGGTTGGGGTCCCAGAGATTCTGCAACACAATGGCTTGGTGCGTTACTAGACACAGATTAGAAGCCAGTGGCGGTCCTGCTGTAACTTTCTTCATAAAAATGGTCAATTCTTTGAATGAAAGAATTCTTTTTCCTAACTGAACTCTTTCTCCTATTATTTCATACTCATACTAATTTCCGTTCGTTGTTCATTTTTTTATTATACGCACTTTACATTATCTATTTCTTCAGAGTTTCATTGTTATCATGTGGAGTATATGTATTTGGTACTCTTTGTACCAATATTTATGTATTCAAATAAATGAACAAATCTGGATTAGTTCCACACTTTATATGAACAGAGGCGGGAAATCGACAGAATAAAAGCAAGGGTAAAAAACAGTACTGCTAATTACAGCAGAAAACTAAACTTAAGAAATATAAATAAGAATAAAACCGGGAAGTGAAAAGTACTGAATAGGAATGAAGGTTAGGATGGGAAGGGACAAAAAGCATATGTGAGTTTGCACTAGAATGAACCTAGTTAGAAAACAAGTACTTGGTTACACTGCTTAGACCATCAATAAACGTCTATTCAGAGTGATATCAGGTACTGATTGAAATGCTTTAAACACTCTTTCACCTAGGTTACCGCTACCTAATTCTCTAATCCCAACATGTGTCGCTTTTATTGTCATTATTATCATTATTTAAGCACGTAAAATCTAGTACAATAAAGAACCAAAAGTAGAATTAACCGCATAAATTACAGTTTTTCCCGGTTAACAATACAAAAGAAACAAGCCAAAAATATTTCAGTTAAAAAGTTCCTCTGACATTTATGAAGAATGTGAGGGAAAATTACAAAATTATCTCTACTCGTTGCTACATTGACCTGTCCGACGTCTCAAACCACTGAGTTGCACCGAATTTACAACCGGAAGCAAGTCCAAATGGACTAACGGATGCCACTTCTATACAGTTTCTCCATAGACTCTGGAGCCGTTTCATAAACTGACCACTTATCCGGTTCTTTCAATCAGTCCCAGTGTTTATGTGAAAGTTGCTGAGATTACATTCGTAAAACACGTCCAAGACAGCGGTCAGTGTTCCAAAGTAGTGAAACTAACTGAGATATCACAACTGAACCCAAGAACACATCCCGGACTTCGGCATTACTGATAAGGTTGTCGCTGGATGCTAGAAATCCTCCTGTGACAATTGGGATCGAATAGTCACAAACCATTAACTAGGAGGTCATGTTTCAATAATAGGGCGAGACTCTTCTCACCAACACGTTATAGACCCGGTTTTTCATAACCAGACTAACATTACGATGGCATCGAACATAGCCCAGACCGTTACTCACCCCACCACCAACGCTCACACAACTACCAAAGTATACGAGTTTTTTGACGATTTCTAATGACTTTTCATCAAAAGTAGGTGCAGGCACAGGATTCTGGCAATCTTTTAAAATTATTGTTTCTAGAAGGTGAAAAGCGCTTACCATACCTACGGACATCGGTTGTATTTGTCTCTTGCTAGATAACTACCATAACAAATCAATCTACTGAAAGTACCTGCTACTGAAAACTGGAAACCTAAGCGTGTCATCAATAAACATGCTTTAAGACGATACCGTGCATTAATTAATGGTCATTACTAAATGAAAACATATGCCAATTCTAGAACAAGTTAGCCCACCAACAAACCATATAATTTATATAGAAGAGCTGAAATTTAATAGAGAGCCGACGAACATTGTTTGCTTAAGTGTTGCGAAAAAGGTAGTGAGAATTTGACGGATATTTTTATCCAGCTTTGCATATTAAATCCTCAATTTTTTAGTAGTTTGTCCTGGATTTTAAAAATAAGTAATCTAACCGTCTAAGTCTCGGGAGATGGAATGAGACTTTGTGACTGCAGCAAATGGTGTCACCAAACATGATTTTGAATTCCGTTACTCACTAACGGCGTTATAGACAATTCTAGCTGATAATGGTGTGTTGATCTAAAAAAAATCTCCGATGCCAGAGGAGATAGATCAGTTGACTATCACATAAAAACCTCCCAAGAACAAACGAAATACTTTGAAAAACACAGGACATATAGTCAATAACAATTATGATGTACCGTTGAGAACTATGTTTAAAAACTCAATAAGACTTTAGTAATAAATTAATGTACAAATTATGAACCCTCAAGGGGAGATATATAGAACACCCAAATAACTGTATAGTGGAATAACGGGACTGTTTATGTAGTGACGCATCCCTAAAAGAAGTGAACTGGTGTTAGGCAGTCAGAGGTAAACGGTGACTACACTGAGACTTTACTAACAGTTTTCTATCAGCACTAAAGGACCAGGAAAGCATGACACTGGTTACTACTCAGTGATCAATCAATTGTACAAGTAAACACTGCTCCCCGTGGATTAACTACCTTCAAAATGTCTTTACACACGAACTACCCAAGAAGACACAATTAGTCACTGAATCACTGCCAAGGAAAAAACTGTAGTGTTGATTAGCCATGATGACGTATTTCTAAACTAGATGAAAACAGAGTAGGTTAACTAAAAGCTGTTTGATTCGAAAACACTACTTAGAAGAGTAATCCAGGTGAATGCTCTGAGCGCAAATTTCTACAGGCAATTGACCTCCCTGGTTTAGTGCATTCATAAATTGTATTGTATACCAAAGATATCAAGATATGGAGGTAGACGTCAAACCAGGACGGCAGCATTAAGGTCCAGAAAATACAGCCAAATAACAAAACTAGCCTGAATTCTGGAGCTAAAGATATCGTTGATACTTTCCAACATGGTTCACGCTAACCATCAAGGTACTCATAAGTACATATTTAATAACACCAAGTTACTTTTTGTCCAAGTAGTGATCTAAGAGTTATGAAAAGTCAACGCTTTTAAACCACTGTAACTTGTCGATCAGTAACTCAGAAAACTTTCAGGATCATTTGATCTATATGTGCAGCATTTAGCCACTTACATGCAAAGACTGTATATGCTTTTCGTAAACTCCATTACTGTATGCACTCAGCTACCCCATGACTGACAAACTCTAATGAATTGGAATAGGTTTAGAGAGCAGTTTTCCGAGACCTTAAAAACTGTATAGAAACAAATCAGCAGAATACCAACCCTTCCACAACATCTGGGACCTGAGGTGATTATCGCCAGTTTCAAACAATTTAATAGTTATTTCCCATTCGACAATCATATTTATCCTTATAGAACACATTAGACCTGGGGAGATACAAAAGTCCGGAAACCATCAGATCATCTGCAAGTGAAGTTACTTCACTTAGGATATGGTTACAGCTATTTCATTACATGTACTCAGTGTTAGATCAATCAACAGACCATTACCAACAGAACTAACATTTGGCTTTTACTCTTTTCAATAACATGTCTCTAGATCGTCCGCAATGGCGAAGGTACTTTTATCTAGTCTTCCATCAGATCCTAGTCTTCTAAATTTCTTTATAATTCCAGTAATTCTAAAACTGCATGATGGATGGCTAGTTTTTCCACTTCCAACAATAGTTATCGCCTCTACTACTTTCGAATTTGCTCTGACAATTTGATCTTGCTGTGCTAATAGAATATGGTGACTTGAACCGATGTACACACATGTCAAGTCCTATTTTGCGTTTAACTGACTTTTATTCTTTAACCCGTCTTAAATTTGAGTAGATAAACTACTCTA